CCCACCCCCTGCCCACTGGGAGGATGTGAAGGGCACCACTCGGCACAGACACACTCAGCTCGGACGTAGGAAGCAGGAAGCACACCCAGCACTGCACCTTGACACCCATGGGGTAGCTGGATGGAAAGAAGCAGAATCAAAACAGACATCTGCAAAGAAGTCAAGGTGAATTCTTTGCCTTTGAAACCATTCTGCATAAGTGACAATTTGGTTCACATGAAGAGCCATGGGGGATGTGACAAAACACCAGACTCCCACTGAAAACAGAAACTTCAGGGTAAGGTGAAAGATGGCTCTATGGTGGCCTTCTTTCTGGTAAAAGCATTGGAAAAGATCCACTTGGTTTCTTGTAAAGAAACATAACCCCCAAATCCATATTTTATTGTTGCAAACAAAGTGTAAGCAGTTGCTAAAATCTAGATACACTGAGTTGACATGCAAATGGTATAAAGTCTGAGAAAAAGAAGGAAAAAATGAGAATATCTAATACAATGGCAAATGACAATGATGATGATGACAATGGCGACAGTGACAGAAAAGCATGGATTACCCCCACACACCGGGCATGGTCCTCATTCCTTGCCACATTTCACCTCGTTTAATTTGCATGATAGGATGTCCTCCACTTTATAGATGAGGAAACTAAGGCATAGAAAAATTGGATTAGGGTGGAGGTGTTGCTCAAGTGGTAGAGAGTCTGCCTGGCAAGCATGAGGCCTTGAGTTCAAACCCCAGTGCCACAAAAAAAGAAAGAAGTTAGATAACGCCCAGGTCCACATAGCCAGTAGGCAGCCAAACCAAAACTCAGGACCTTCTGGCTCCACAGCCCATAACAAGAAACTGCCTCCCCCTAAACCTCTGGGTCTTCACCTTTTTTAAGTCATAAGATCCACCAGGAATTTCATTACAAGCAGGTCTCTAGAAGTGAATGTTAACACGAAACTCTGCACGCAACTTCAGAGGGGTAAAGGACACAAAATCCCTGAGAGGGACCCCTGTGAATGGTGTGACTGCAGAGATCTGAGACTACTTTCACCGGAGGACTGGGCCAGAAATGCCGGACATGACATTTGAGTTTCAGACAAGCATATAAAAAAATAAAAGATGTATAAATGTGTCCACGGGTGTGTGTATCATCTGTGTGTGTGAGTGATAAAGAGATACTCAAGATACATCAATGAAAGGTCAAAATCCTGATGTCACTGCCAGCGAGACACCCTGGCTCAACTTGGCCCATTGTGATCTCTGCCACATAGACCATTAAGAATTGGCACCATAATGTGATGGCAGCACAGCTTTGGCCAGCCTTGAAAGGGCCCTCCCCTCAAAGAGTCAACAGGTCAAATTACTTAGTGCTTGGGACAAGCTGGCCTTTGTCAGTCTTTATTCCCAACCTGATAAGCCACCTTGATGCACTCTCCATGGCATCCTGGATTAGCAAAACTCAATGGCCTCAACTCCTAAGGTTGAAGGAGAGAAACACAAAGAATCAGGAGGCCCTGAGGGCCATCAGAGGCTGCTTCCTGATGTACCTTTCCTCTGCAGTTGGATTCATTCTTTGGCTCCAGAGAACCACTAAAAGCATAAATCAAGAAGTCAACCATCCCATAGGTGGCACAAATTTCACCTGAAAGGTAACTTGATTTCTTTCAAATATCCAGGAAAAATAAGACCCAGAACAGTTGGGTTTTGTCTTCTACTTATCATCATGTTTAAAACTCTAAGTTCTGCCCTCTGAGGAAAGGTCAGCTGTTATTTGTTCTTTGCACCTGACATTCTAGCAATGTCCACAGTGGGACCTTTAGAGATGGAACAGTAGTGGAGGTTGACAGTATGAGGACCACAGTGGGGTTGGAGAGGACCTGAAACCAGCATGCTGAGTCTGCTTAAAGAGTGGAGGGGGGAAAGGGGACCCAGCTCCACTGCCAGCACATAGAGAGCAGGAGCCAGCAGTGACCCCCCTCGGTGAGAATCATTCCTCACCCAGAGCCTTGCTCTGGAAGCTGTGCCTGCACCAAACACCATGACAGCATTTGCAGGAACAAGCAGCAAGTCGTGCAGCAGTGGGAACAGCCTTCTCTGGAAACAGAAGGAAACCCTGAGACCAGAAAACATGCTGTATAAGTTTGGGGGATATTAAATGAGGCCACAAGGGGAGGAAGTCCATATAGGGATTTCTTGAGTACAAAAGAGAACCTCAGCAGTCTACTGACTCCATTCAAGTCTCCTTCGGAGAGCTAGGGAAGGAAAGGGGTTGGGTCGACCATCTACCTCCATGGTAAGCACTCTCTAGGCCTCTGTGCTTGTGCTTGCTCTGCCCAACTTGGGTGGTTGTATGCTTGAAACCCCCTGCGTACCCTGCTCATCTCGAGGTCTTTGCCTGACTGGATAGTTCATGTCACTCATGCCTCAGATGAATGTACCTAACATGAAGCCATCCTTGAACACCCTGTCCAGAGAGACCCCACACCACTGTCAGAGATTCCCACACTGGCGTTGCTCACTCAGTGCTGAGTCCACCTGTGCCCAAGACACCATCAGGCACCACAGGATGGCTACTGCTGGCCTTGCAACCCCTTCTGTTCTGTCACTCACCCAGCACCCTCCTGACTCCAAGGTTTCAGCCTATGAAGATGTAAATTAAGAAGAGGACAGATTAGTCACCCTGCATGACACACCCTATGGCATCCTCGAATATCAGAATTCAATGGCCACTCCACCTCCCAAGGTTGAAGAAGAGAAACACAAAAAACCAGGAAGCCCCTAGGGCTGTCAGAAGCTCCCTCCCGGGTGTGCCAACCTATCCCTTCCCAAGAATTTCTAAGCTCTCTGACCCTCTCGGGAAGACACAGACAAATGTTGGAATAATGAGCAGGTGCTGATCTTGGAAGGCCGCCTGTATCACGTCCCCCTTATCAGCACACTTGCATCATTTTCCCCCCTTCTCTGACATTTACTGAGACCCAGGACTATAAAAGCGAGGTGAAGCGTTGTCATTGACAGTCCCAAGGCAAGACCAGGAGAAGAGGCAGTTTCCAAGACCCTTTCCCCATTGACACTGGACGAGGTAAGAACTTGCTCGTGGGGTATACCGAGGAGAAGGTGGAATCTCTGAGGTGGGGACAGGCACAGGACAGTTCATGCAAATACCTATAGCTGGGGTTCACGAATTTCTTGTCTAGCAATGTCCCTTCCTCGCCAAACTGCAGAGCACTCTGTTTGGACAATGCCTGTTTTATGCATGCGTTTACAAAAACAGGAAATGTAACTGGGATTTAGTTCCACTCAGCTCAAGGGTTGACAATACAGCCATCACAGTCCACACGCACAGGAATTTTTCCCCCCTCAGATGTGTAAGAACTAGCTCACACAGATGAAAGTCAAATGAGAAAACCAGTGAAGATATGACGAGACTGTTTTCAAAAAGCTGAATTTATTCAACGTAAAGAATTGTCATTGGCTTCAAATTATGCCATGACCACCCTTTTATTTATTTATTTATTATTTGCTTGCATTTTTTGAGACAGGGTCTTGCTGTGAAGTCCAATCTGGCTTCAAACTCATAATCCTGTTGCCTCAGCCTCCTGAGTGCTGAGATTACAGGCATGTACCACCACACCTAGCTCCGTAAATGCCCTTTTAATGGTGTTGGCCAAAGAAAGATTGCTTTTGTTAATGTGTGTGCACAGTACCAACCTAAATAACATCAGACAGATTGTCTAAAGGTTTATCGACTTTATTTGGGAATAGGATAGCATAGCACCGGGAACATACATGCCATAGTAAACATGAGCGGGTTCAAGAAGACTAGGACAAGGGAAAGATTTTAAATGCAAAATGAAGAGGATTACATAAACTATTTTGAAGCAATTACTGATTAATAACAAGAGTGATGCCAGTACAAGGTTGAACGAACAGTTGCTGGGCAAATGTCCTTGCAAAAGTGTCTTTTGTGTAAGATTGCAGTGGCCTTTGTGCAAGATTGTGGTTCTGGCTAAATCTTTTGGGAATCATTCTTGTTATCAGGCACACGTGCATGAGATCCCCTTCTTTATAACCTCCCAGCTTCATTTATTTATTTTGGGGTTAGGACTTGACCAAAGTGACTCCATATTGGTTCTGACAATTTTCACAATGGCAAGCACTAAGACCCACAACCCCAATTTTACAAAATGTGATTGGTTAAGAAAGGCAAACAGTGAGGAACTCCAGAGTCTACTCCTTTCTCAGGGAGAACATGTCACAGACACAAGCCTCCACTTTGCCCTAAATGCCAGAGGGTAAAACCCTTGATTCCTTGGGGAATCAAGGTGAGAGAGGACCTGAGCAGGAAGGTGGGAAGTAACCTCTGAAAATCACCAGCACAGCTCATACTCTTAACAGGGGACTTGGCAGGTTGTACCCAAGTTGTGGGCACAATTTTAGTGCCTTGCACTAAAATGCTCAGATGGAAACAAGGGTAATGATAGGCCCCAATGCCTAGATTTGTTGGTACAATCATGTAAGATGTCGCACTTAGCACACTGCCCCATACCTTCTAAGGTGGTTCACCGAATAGGTACTTAAGGGACACATGCCAGCAAGAAGGAAGACTTGACGTTGTAGTTGGAGAACTCAAAACTCCCCAAGTCCCCAACTGGAAATTAAGATAGTGCAAAGGATATTTCAATGCGGAAGATGGCAGTGGGATGTATAACCCAAGAGGTCAGGTCACTGAGCAGGGTTTTGACTATACCCAAATGTTGCAACCAGTCCTTACAGTACATTTACACAAAGCTAAAACAGGAGCAGGAAAGGACTCCTTCTTTCTCAAGACATTAATTGGCACGCACTGGAACATGTTCCCGTGCACACAGTATGCAGACTAGTGTGTCTATAACATGCACGGTGACCTCCTACAAGAGCCAGGCAGCTGCTGTACACAAACACACAATGTCCCTGCAGCACATTGGGAATATGGAGTCTGACAAAATGCTCCTTTGCAGGTATCAGTCACCAAGATGCGGACCCTGTGGATCCTAGCCATCCTGTTGGCGTTTCATGTAGGCGCACTTGGCCAGCTGGAAACACCCCCCGTGGTGGGAAGAATTCCTGCTGTCCTACCTGTGCCACCCCCACTACCCTCTCAGCTCAGTCTGCAACCTGTCCCCCTTAATGTGCTAAGTACACCCGTCCTCAGAAGTTCCTCAACCCAGAGAAGCTCTCCTCTCAGAAGACCCCCAACTGGGACCCCAAGACCCAAGTGTGCACCCTCGGCCAGGTACTTCTTGTCTAGCAGCAAGCTCGATGACTGTAAGTAAGAATTGTCTTACCTGTACACCTTTGGTCCTGTCCAGCCCATTGCACAGGCTTCTCACTGTTTTCTTTTTTCTCCTGTGGTGCTGGAGTTTGAACTCAGGTCCCTGTACTTGCTAGGCAGATGCTCGACCACTTGATCCACGCCTGCAGCCCATGGCCCTGCCTCTTGATGAACATGTGCCCGGAAGCTCCCAGCATCCCTCCTTGATATAAAATACTTTGCATGTAAAAGGAGTTTAGACAGTAGTGAAAAGAACAGCTAGGGACCTAGCATGCAATCATTTAGTGTAGTGGCTGTTAACTTCCTTTTTCAGACTTTAAAAAGAAAATGTCAAAGGATAAATAGAGCAAACATCCATGTATCCACCACCTAGATTAAGGAATAAACACAGCCGAAGGGCTGGAGGACCCTAACTTCGTCACCCTTCCTCCCTGATGCTCCACCCCACCCAGAGGAGGCCTCTAGCTTGATTATTTTTCCCTAGCAAATTTATATGTTTGATATTTGGCTGTTCTTTATCAATATAAGAGATTGCACTGCATGTTATAAAGTTTCCAGAATAGGTGACATGCTTACTTTGTCCCTGAAACGTATATTTGGGATGTGATTCATGCATGTTGTAATGAGAAAGTCTTGCCCATTCTTTTTTTTTTCCTTTTTCTTTTATTATTCATATGTGCATACAAGGCTTGGTTCATTTCTCCCCCCCTGCCCCCACCCCCTCCCTTACCACCCACTCCGCCCCCTCCCTCTCCCCCCCATTAATACCCAGCAGAAACTATTTTGCCCTTATTTCTAATTTTGTTGTACAGAGAGTATAAGCAATAACAGGAAGGGACAAGGGTTTTTGCTGGTTGAGATAAGGATAGCTATACAGTTGCCCATTCATTTTTAATGCTGTGTTCTACCAATGGATCCTTCACAGTTTATGGAGCTGTTCAATTTTTGGGTTTTCCTGGTTTTCTGCTCTTTCTAGCAGTGCTGCTCTGAATCCAAGACCCATTCTAGTGAAGCTCCCCTAGTGTACTTGTACAGGAGACTCCCTCAGGCGTAAGTCTGGACTGAGATGTGGCCACATCAGGCTGACTCTGCAGAACACAGAGTTCTGAAAGCAGCAGTAAGGCTCCAAAGACCATGGCCCTCTGGCTCCACAGAGGCTGCTATCAGGGGACTTCCTCTAACTGCTACTCAACCAGGCCAGATATGGTGTCCCTTAGTCCAATTAACTTCAGCCCTAGGAGCAGCAAGGTTGTCCGCCATCCAGATTCCATAGCTCCTTTTCCTCCGTTTCCTACTAAGGTCACCGAGAACAAACAGGATAGGGCCCTGGTGACTTGGCAGCTCTCTAGGCCAACAGCTGACTCTATGATCCTCTCTACAGGCCTCTGAGATTCCACCTCTCCTTCCCCAGATACGCCCCCCAGGGGGAAGGGGGAGTGGATAAAGTTAGCACCTGCCCAACCTGCAGAGAGCAATGCCACAGGAAGGTGCAAGCTCATGGAGAAGATCTCCATTAGAGGCAGTGTGTCCATGTGATGCAACCTCCTAAAGACCCACAAGGAAAAAATGAGACCCAAGAAGAGAAAGGGACTTGGGCAGAATCACAGGGATGGAGAAAGGAAGTCCACATCTGTCAGCTCCACAACCATTGGACCCATTGCCTCCCGCCTTGCTTAGTACTTACAACCCACAGTCATCTCATTTATCTTCCACTCCTGGCCCACCTAGCACAACTAGAGCTGATGCACAGAGACTGTGGTCCAGGATGGGCAAGACCCTGGCACAGTTCACTCAGCCTTTAAGGAACAGAGCTGACACTGGACCTGGACAGCAGGGCTTAGAAACCAAACAAAATTACTTCAGTTCATGCCCAAAGCACTGTGTGTGTAACATACTCACCACCAGCTGGCCTCAGTGTGGGTATGAGCACTTGACAAGGAGATAGGTAGATTTCTCTGCCACACAGCTGCACTTGAAGTGGGCAGTAGTAGTAGGGGTTGATATTTCTGGGAGGCACAATACACAGTCCCTATGTGCTGTTTGAAGGTGCCAGCTCCCCAGCAGAGGGACCCCTTGCTGAGCTAAGTAGGCAGACTGCAGCAGGACTATGTCTCTTAATCTTTTTCAGATCTGAAGACCAGTCTGCCTCCACAGATCAAGCAGCTGGTGAAGTGTGAGGAGGTTAACTTAGCCGGCCTAGTTGGAGCTGTGTTATCCACACTGACCGAGTCCAACCTGTTATCACTGTTAAACCTCAGTTCCATCCTAAATATGGGAAGTGCCCTTGGCATTGGTGGTCTTTTAGGCCAGGAAAGTGGTGGCAAATCCAGTCTCCCATTGCTGTCCAAAGCCACTGGTGTTTTTGGTGGCCTGCTCCCGCTGGGTCAGGAGAACCTGGGAAACCTACTTCCCGCAGCCCTTGGTGGAGACAAGAATCCTGCCAAAGGACTCCTCGACAGTGTTAGTCTCCCCAATCTCCAGCAGCCCCTGAATGACGTGGTCAGAAAAGTTGGTGACCTCAAAGAGTCTACCCAGAAGGCACTGAAGGGAGCCCTGCCACCAGGCATCAGCAATGCACTCTCAGACATGCTGGGAAATGCCAACTTAGAAAAACTCTTGATCAAGTAAGTGCTTCCTTGATCCAGACAACTCTAGCCCAAAAAAGCTGTTCATTTGTAATGCTATAATTCAACCTCAAACCATCCCAATGACAATGACCTCTCCCAAAAGCAATATGCTCACTCCAGCTGAAACTGTGCCCTCTCTGGAAACTATGACCAGGATTTCTTGAGCCTAAACAACTGGGTGGAAAAGGGGTAGAGGGGCCAAAGGAATTGGGGTGGCTTGGTAAGTTGTAAATTGGCTGGGTCAAAGGTGTTTCTCCTGCAGTTCAGGCTGATCCCTTGAGCCGGAACTGGCTCTTGATGCTGTCACTTTGCAGTTTACAGATCCAAAAAGTAAGTGTGGATAATGTGGATTCAACCATGACAGGAGAAGGGATCGATGTCCAGGCTGCAACTACTGCCACCGTTGGTGGAGAAGGGTAAGTCTGTTTCCATGACATCCAACTGGGTCAGCCAGGACCAGGGTTGTAAGTTCCCATGACCAAGGGTCAGGGTAAGAGAACACAGAATGCAGAAGCATGGGGAAGAAGGGGCAACCAGGCCATTACGTAAGAGCTGCCACTGTCCTCAGCCCAGAGGAACAAGGCTAAAGAATGACCTGTTCATTCTCCATTAGTATAAGCAAAGTTGCTCATGGGAAATCTGCCCAAGTCATACCTGGGCATTGAGAACAGAAACCACAGAGAACACATCTCAAATACTCTGCACTCCATAGAGCATATCAGCCCATTGTGCAAACACCATTCTGGTCAGCTGGGAAAAGTAGAGATGACTGCAAGACTGTCAGAAAGCTACAGACTTAAACACGCCTGCATCCATGCACTGACCACCCCGCCTCCTGAGGTGCAGCTAGGAAACATCACTCTGGAACACATGCCGTGCTAGGGACAGGCCATCCCTACTGGAGAGATGGTGTTATGGACAGAGACACACAGCACTGATAACTCTCTCCATCCCAGTACTTGCCCAGGCTTCATGGAAATCTTTCCATAACCTTATCAGAAAAGCAGTCTTGCTTCCAGACCAGATCCCAGTTCAGGCTGGCAAAGGCACCTGCATACCTTGCTCAGAGTCACACAGCTAGAAAACAGCAGTGAAAGAGTTTAGACCCAGGCAGTCTACCTCCAGAGTCAATGTCTGTAGCCACTAATGTTAGCAGAGTCGAGAACAGCCATTTGTCACCTGGGTGGTGGTTACAAGCCAGTAATCCCAGCACTCAGGAGGCAGGAGGATAGCCAGTTGGAGGTCAGCCTGGGCTACACAGTGAGTTTGAGGCCAGTCTAGGTTAACAGTAAGACCCTGTCAAAAAAAAAAAAAAGCCATTTGTCCTGCCCAGAAACTTACCCCTTTATTAACTAATAAGACCAATTCTACTCCCGGTGGGTTTCTCTAATGGTGTTGCCTACATGATAGAAGCCCAGCACACTGGGCATAGAACCTGCATCAACAGTCTTACGCCACCAACAATGCATGACCTCTTCAAGGGTGGTTAGGGTAGTGATTTTATTAAATGTTCATTTACTGTCAGCCATGAGCCAGCCTCTGGACTCTGTGACCAGGGGATGCTAGCTTGGGACATGTGGACTGAAAAGCACCTAACCTTCCTTCTCCCCAAATAACCTTGATAATACATGGGACTATGTGCAAAATGCCTAACATGAGCCTCACCTTGGAGCCAAGCCTGGTTTCACCTGTATTTTGTTCTCCACAGCCTAATTGGACCTGTAGTCAGTTTGGTAGGATTTAAACTATATTTGGATGTGACTCTGAATATGGCTCTTTCCACAAACCACACCCAATGCATTGACCTCGAGGTCCAGAAAACCGATGTCCAGGTCAAAAGTGTGAGTCTTCAGATAGTAGAGACGTACGTAAGACCATTTTTCTCATTTTCTGGATCAACTGGACTGCATGCTAGAATGTCCCTGCTGCTGTCACCCCCAGTGATGAGCTACTCCCAAAGCAATGGTGTAAACGATCAGTAAATAGAGGCCCAGAGAGGGGTCTCTGTATGGGAATGACCCACTGTGTTTGAGAATAGCCTTCTCTCACTCAGCCTGCATTCTGCCTGCTAACTGTACTTCAACAATTCATTCTGGTTTTTGCATAAACAATACATATACCTGGGTCAAAACTGAAAAACAACAAAAGGCCATAGAGTGAGAAGTTTCCCAGTCCTGCCTGCTAACTGATTAATTATCTTTCCTGGAAACAACCAATGGACCCAGGCTCTTCCTTTTGTTTTCACAGATGCTTTTTGCACATGCATGGACATTTGCATCTGGGTATTCACAGACAGAAAAGCAGCAGATGTCACACTTTGATTGTTTCACATTTAAAAAATAGCTGGAAATATGTTTCATCAACAGCTTCTTCATTTTTATGATTCTAGTATTCCCTTAGGAAGATGCATTAGAATTTCTTGAATCAGTCCTTTACCAGTTATAAACTTTTGTAGCACTATAATGAACAAGGTCACAGACAAGTCTGCCCACCAGTATGTTCGGGCAGCTGAAGGATGAACTCCTCCAGGTAGACTATTGGGGTAGACATCCTGTGCTTTGGTCATATTGCCAGATACATTTGTAACTTCCTTAAGGAGTAAAAGTGAAGCTGAAGGGCTCAGGTCCACACACAGATTAAGCAGCAGGACATGGTTGTGGCTATTTCATCCGTGGGTATGTTTATCTAATGTTTGGGCAAATCAAGAAACACAAGAATCACTTGGTTCTGCTCATAATTTTTCACAGGGTCACAGAAATTTTGCCCGTCCCTTTGCCTCTGCCCTTGGATAAACTCGTCCCTAAACTGTTGACAGTAAAGATAATGGAGAACGTAAGTCCTGGAAAAGGGGAGGACACCCCCTAGGGGGCCTGTATCACTGCGGGAGGGCAGGGAGGAGCCCTTGCTTCAGAAAGGACCTGATGCTAGAAGACACTCAGAAATGAGGTCTCAGCCCCTTCAGAGTCCCCCACACAAGGGAACCAGCAGCCCTCTAGTCCAATAGCTCCCCCAACAGAACTGCAAATGCCTCAGGCTGGGGGAGTGGGGAGGGACAATGACTTCTGCCAAAAAGGAGGCCAATAAAAGAGGCCAGGGGAAAGGGAAGGAGGGTGAGAAGAAGCAGCAGCAGAGCTGGGCTGAGGAGGCTGGGCTAGCAGGGCCACCACGGCAAAGCTAACTGGAGATGACTTCTTAGATTGAGAAGTCAAATTCCTGTGGCATCGCTCTCAGTGACTTCAATGATTGCAAGAACTGTGAGTAAAACTCTCAACCCTCCTGGGATACCCACATCAGGGGTCAGAGATATACCTTGGGGATTCCACTGGGTGACAGACCAGAGAGAATGAGGCTACAAGATGCAACATCCCACACACCTGCAAGTGTCCAGATAACTCTCCTTAGCACATTCAGGACAGCTGACCAACTCTCGAGGTCACTTTGACTTTTCTTCCAGGAAGGGAAGAGAACAAAGAGCCCTTAGGGTCTCCGTGGAGCTCCCAGTCCCAAATGATTTACAAAAGGCACCCGTGCATGTGGGTGAGGCCCTCACCCTAAGAATCAGGAAATCCCTCAAGTCCCAAGCCAATGCCAAGAGACAGGGATGACAGGACATGGTAGCTAGGCAGTGGCCTAGACAACTGAAGCAGGAAACCAGTGACATTTACCAAGTCTCAGAGTAGACAAAACAAGGGCCTGATTAGCAAGTCTTTTCCTCTCCATGGAGGTTTTAGCACATCAGGGAAAGGACCAGGTCCTCATGTGGAACCCAAAAAGCAGTAGCGGTCCACACTGGTCCCTGTGCAGAGGGCAGCACTGGGCAGAGAGTTCAAAGCACCATGGTCTTCAGTGGATGGCTGTGCTCTCTCCATTTCTCCCTCTCCCCTCCCCTGCAGCTACTGGATTGTTCAAATACCAAGTAAAAGGCGCCAGAATTTCCTACCAAGGACTTTCCATCCTCTATTGTGTAAGTATTCTTTGTCCTTGTGATGGTTTCTGGATGAAGGCTGAGGCATACCTGAAGGCACAAAATAGGTCAGAAGGCTGGGACAAACCAGCTACCATTCTTCCTCAGACCCCCACACTTTTAATCTTGGCTCAATCACCTAGGCATCCACTGCAACGCCTAAGTGTCTGCCCCTGGGCAGGTCAGCTGCATGTTCAAGTCCAATGGACTTCCCTAAGAGGCAATACAACAAAGACAACCATCTCTTGACCATTAGATCTGCCCAACACAGTTCTAGACACTCAAGGGACAACACACAACAAGACAGAAAGTGCTGACTCCACCCTCTCTCTATACTGGTAAGAGGGAAAAAGGCCAGTTCATGAAAATGCTGAAGAGGGTAACATTTTAGACCCAGTCAGCTTCACTTCTAGAAATTCATCCAAAACAAACAACTCAAGTTTAGACAAATTGAAGTAAAAAAAAAAATGCATGATTCATGATGACATTAGGAAAACAATCTGAAATCAAATTGAAAGGAAATAGCAAAGCCAAGAATAAGATAGAGCCAAATGTCTAAAGTCTGTAAGTATGCAGACATGCTATGCAGGTATCATTAGTTCTTTCAAAATATACCAAAAATGAAATGAGGAATGCAAGGAAGATACAGGGAAATATTAGTGGTATTAAGCAGGAATCTCTTTTTTTTCTCCTGTATCCCTACATTTTTCAACTTTCCTGCACATGGAGTTTGACTTTTATAAGCAGAAGGCAGAGGAGGTATTTAGTGGAGAGTAGAGTATCTATGAAACTATTTCTTGACAAGAGCGGCTCCAAAGGGTAGGAGGAGAGGGAGGAAGGAGACACAGCCTTCCAAGATGGAAGAAAAATGAGCACCTGTGGCTTCTCTTGGAAAATCAGAGGTCTGCCTCTCCCACACTGCATCAGGGCAACAATCAGCTGGAGCTGAGTGACTCCACCTTCACCACAAACCCACCACCACTTCCCATGATCACCCAACATGGAGGCTGGGGAGGTCACTGCCATTCCTTGCCACGCGCACCTCTGTGCAACGCTCACCAGGCCACCTTACCCTTCACGGCCAGGACTCCAAAGGCCTTGTCATTGGTGATAGTCTCCCCAACTGACAGAGATTTTTCTGTTTTTCTCTCTCCAGGCCAAAGCTCTCTTTGACAAAAACACAGTCCCTGTGCCAGAAGGTTTTCTCCCTCCAGATCCTAAAGATGTCAACATTTCCCTAATTATGTCTCAATTAATGATCAGAAAAATTGTCACTCATGTTGCCAAGCAGAGCTCTGTCCAGGTAAGTGTCACCCACATGGCCTTAGGCTTCAGCTGAGTCAACAGCTCAGAGAGTGAGAAGACAGGAAAGCAAATGGTCCTGAACATTCTTCCAAAGATGAACACAAACAATGCCATGGGATGCAACATTTTCCCTTAATGATCAGATAAGTGGGTCCTCATTTACATCAGGGACATAGAAGGACATTTTCTGAGTGCCTTCTGTGTGCCAAGTGCCTTTATATAATTAATGTCATTTCATTCCCAGACAGCACTTGGATAGAGGTATTCTTCTCCTTACTTTACAGATGACCTAAGGGAGTTAATGAATTCACCAACAACCGTAGCAGCAGCAATGGTGCTGGGTTTATCTATCCATGAGGCATTCATTTGCTCTTGGTCCTAGAAGTGCTGGGAGAAGTAAGAACATCCAGAGTGGCACTGATTTCTGGGTGCCAGGCTCAGTTTGAAGCAAGGAATAAGGTGTTCTGATCAGAGTCCCTAAATGACCAACTGAGAGCTGTCTCGCCATAAGGGCAGAGAGAGAAACAAGCTTCAGATTTGACAAGGCATTGTAGAAAAGCAAAATTTCACATGTTCTCTGCCTCATCATCCTTCCAGGGAAGCAAATAGATAAAGGGAAAGGTTTTGGAAGTAGGCCTTGATGTTGTGGTTATCTCAGCTGCACCAGCACTCCACCCGGTAACCAACTTGTACCAATAAAGGTTGGAACGAATGATCTGAATGACATATGAGTGACCCAAGATGTAGCATCTGCAATTCTTCTTCCTTCCTACACCCTAACTGATGGCTTCTTCACAAAAGGCAAATAACCTGGACGCAGTTATCACCAAAGTAACCTACACCTTCCAGGATGACAATACGATCCAAACCATATACTGGGTTAAGATAACAAAGGACGGGGAGATCTTTGCTACAGGGAAAACGGTGAGTGCTGAGAAACAAGTCAGAACAGAGCTGGGAAGGGGAACTGCCAGGAGCAGTGCTCAAAGGAATGAGCTGCTAGCAACCCCAAGACTCAGTGTGCCTGAGGGTCCCTAAGACAAAACTGGCCAGACTGTGGGCTCAGCCTGCAAGGGGAGAAGAGAGTGAGCAGTCTGCCCTGGGAAGATGAGGCCAGGCAGGCTCTACTCTGGTCCTGGCCTGGGACCCTGTTGGTCATCTCACAATATGATATCTGTGCTGAGCAGCCGGACCAAGGTATATTTAACTCATGCTCATTTTGTGTTATTTCAGACATTACTCATCTCACATTCAGGCAAGATTTCACAAAACAAACTGATAGAAGACATCACGCTGATCAGGTAATGTCTGCAACTACCTTGTGGCTTAGAGGCATAGAACCCAACTTAAGTAACATGAGTACAATAAGGCATAGGCTCGGGAAATACTTGGGTAACTATAGGGAAATCAGAATGGAGCTTGAAACTCACAAGCTCTATTCATTTTGTCCTTTTTGAAGAGTAGTTTCTAATTTATAACTGATTTGCATTAAGAGGCAACTGAGATAATACTTTGACTCTAAAAGAATAGTGTTTTTCAAATGAACTTAATATTCCTCTGTACTTTGTTTCCTTTCAGATCTGAGCACAGTGTGAACCCCCCTCAGGCTGTAAGTTGATGTGGTTGTCCGTATTTACCTATGAGATGTGGGAAATTATTTCAATGCCAGGGGCTTAGTCACACAGGGACTGTGAGAAGAAGAAAGTCATGAAGACCAGGTCGTGGACACATGTGGAGTAGGACAGCCAGCTCCTAACCTAGCCTCTATGGAGAGTTTTTGGTTGTGGTTTTTGTTTGTTTTTTGTTTATTTTTGAGACAGGATCTTACTGTGTAGCCCAGGCTGGTGTACAACTTTTGATCCTCCTTCCTCTGCCTCTAATGTGCTAGATTTACAAGCATGCCCACCACACATAGTTTCTGGGGAGCTCTTAAAACACATTGCCTATGCCCACTGCAGAGTGCCACATCTAGTCAGGTCCTGAGAAGGGCCTGCAATCCCTGCTTCTCTGGTGTCCTGGGGGTTCTGATATGCCAGAAAGCCTGGAAATAATCTAAAATATAGCCCAACTCTGCTTGTGAGATGATCTCATAAGCACAGCCATTTGCGGTGGCCTCAGCTCCTGTCACTAGTTTTCACCTGGGTTCTACAAAGCAAGTGTGTTTTACTAGGCAAGCACAGATACACCCACAGAGGAGCCTGGGAGGAAGAGGAGAGGAGAAGGTAGTGCCTAGGAACCAGGCTCCAGGAACAGAAAGGAAACTGACTGAAGGCTTGCCAACAACCCTGTGTTTAGACACCTGATCTCAAGCAGGCTCAAGTGTCTATGAGCAGCTACTATGTGCCTGGCCCCTCAAATGCATCATGAATTAGTGATGAGGCACCTAACTCCAGGACCTGGCATTCAAGATGGGGGCAGAATGGGCACTTAACACTTAAGAATAGGCAAAAGTTACTAAGAGTCTGGGAGCTACATGTGGGATAGAGACCCACAGTGGATACCCAGAGGTGAACAGCCTCATGACTGGGTTTAGGACCTGGGTCCCTATGTCAGTCCTGAGATAATGGGGACGTGACAGTGAGGCTGACTCTGGAGGTCATCACAAGTCCAGTGTCCCCATCATCTCAAATTTGCTGGGCGGCTATGAAATGTGCCAGACTCAATACTTGGGGGAAGCAATGCAGAAGTGACAATCCAGGACCTCATGGAACTTCCTGCCTGACAGGGGACACAGACATTTATACATAGTCATCATCTGGGCAAGAAGAAGACAGAGTAGAAGGAGCATCAACTGGGAGGCAGACAGTGCTAGAGCTCAGTGGTAAGGAAGGAGCAGGACTACTATATACAAAAGCATGGGCCGGGGAGAGGGAACAGGTTGTGCATTGACTCGGAGATCTTCAGGGAGGAGGTGCCAGCAGGGAGGACCAGACCTGGCAATCTCACAACTACTTTAGAGGGGGCAGCAGTGACCAGCAGCAAACAGCCCTCCCACCGAGTTCCGTGTTTGTCTTGAAGGTTCAAATTCACCTGCTATACCTACAGCAGTGTGGTATCTAACAGGAGTCCCAGAAACACTGTTCATGGAACCACGTAGGCCAGTAAAACCTCCTGGAGGGCCTTGAAAAGTCCTGAAGATTTAGAGCCTGAGGGGTAGTTGGGCTCCACCTGGCCTTGTCCAAAGAGGCCTTTTTACTAGAAAAACCCCACAGGTACAACATCAAGACTGCTCTCCCTGGCTGTGACACTGGGCTGGGAAGGGCTACTAGAAGGCATTTATGAAAATATTCCTCCCATCTCTTGCAGAAGGACGAGGTGCAAGGTGTGATGCTAGAAGTTTTGAAGAAGTTTTGGACAGGTGTTAATGGTATGCAGCAATACTAACCTGGTCACCCGGGAGAGTCAGCACTGCAGGAGAGGTCCCAGCTGTGTGTCATGCTGTGGAGGGCTGCAGCACTGCGCACAAGGTCACCTCACCCCCACCTCACGGTCACAGAGCACTTTCTGATAGGGGAACAGCATCATGAGATGGTAAAAATGAAAAGCGAGGCAAAACTCTTCCTCTATAGGTCCTAAAGAAATCTAGTCCACAAGGCATCCTTAGGAGCAACACTGTCATGCTGCTTAGTCACTTTAGAGGTTTGACAACTCAAGAGGCTAAGATCATAGCCCGTATGACCAACAATGATGGTGGTCAATACACCACCTGCACATATTTCTGATTAATTCTAAAGGACTTCAAAATAAGTGCAGTGGCTACCCAAACAGAACAGCCTAACTCTGTGATGTTGAAAACAAGAGCAAGAGCTGCCAGGGTACTGCTTGGCATGGTTATTAGGATACCACTAGTTTCTACCTGCTTCTGGAGTCTCCCTTCCTTGTGACCCCATTCGCTCTCCCACCTCAACAGACTGGGAGATACTATGTAGGTCTGTAATCAAGTCATGCTGTTGAGTGGACAGGGCAGCAATTTCTCCTGGAGCCAAATACACTTAGAGATCCCTCCATGTGACTGCGGCTAAAAAGAGCCACCCAGGTCTCCTTTAATTCCTATTATAACATGGTCTTCTTTATTTCAGCATACTTAAAACAAGTGAACATACCACCAGGCGTGTCCTCATTTACTCTAAGTAATGCCGAGGTTAAGGTGATGAAATCGGTAAGAGAAATACAAATATTTTCCTCCCATGGTTCTGAGATCAAACCCAGGGCCTTGTCCACGCTCAACAAGTGTTCTCCACTGAGCAATATCCCTACCCCTGAAGTGCCAGTCTTGATGAAATTGCATAATGACTACGAATTATGACCAGGAAAACATCAACTTCTTTCATTTTGAGTCAAATGTTACAAGTTGCACATTCTTGGTTTTACTTAATCCCCAAGTTTCCCTGTGGCCAAATCAACTAGTGGAGTGCAGAGTGAGGGGAAATCACCATTTGCTCGGTGTCCACTTTCAGCCTCCGGCTCCTCCACTGTGGTTCTGAGTAGTAGTGGACCTTCTACTTGACCTTCCTCCAATCACCTTACCTCAAAGGTCAGACCAGATGAATGCCATCTGTGCTACAGCTAAAGTGACAGCCCAGCCCAAACTACTTTAAGCAACAAAAAAATTTTAGGTATTGAACAGCCAGCATGGTACCAGCCTCAGCAATGGCTTTTTACTCATGGTCCAATGACACCAGAATCAATGTTCTGGCCCTACTGTTTCTGGATCTGCATGGAAGTCCCCACCTACAGGACTATCACCCACTATTTCTTTCCCTGATAGTTCAAATAACAATCACCCAGAAAAATCCTCTGGGGCTGGTACTGGCAGGGATGTGTTTCACTCCCCATCCCCAAGGCAAGTGCTGGTTGGGGACAGAGTGCACTGGTTGGCTCAGACTGTGCTCAGACTGTATTTAAGTGCATAATTGGTCTTTTATCTCCCACAGAATGATCTTCTGGCAACAAACTGAACCCAGCACACCTGGAACCAGGCAACGTTCCAAATGGAAGCAAAACAATCTGTATGTAAAGCTTTCCTATGAAAGATTGACCCAATGGCCTCCTCGTGATTAAGGAACCGAGTAGTTTTCTTAGGATGTCAAGTGTCCTTTGGAATTTCACCAAGGCCCCTGAATTAACAAGGGCAAAAATGGCAAAAATTCAGGGACTTTTGGTATTGTTGTAATCAGCTCTTTAATAAACCTTTCTTCATAAAAAAAAATTCACTTGCCTTTAATACCTACAAGTAGGAATTATATGTTTATGAGCAATCAAAGAACTTCTTGAGACAAAAAATTAATAACATGAATGGTAACACCAGAATCCACTGTTTACTCGGGAACTAGGGAACAATCATGTCAATGACTAAAACTTTTCTTCCCATGTTTTGACCCTTACGTCATCATTATATTTTGGATTCAAAATGTTCCCCAAAAGCCCAGATCTTAAAGGCTTGGTCTCCAGTTGAGTGCTACTGGGAGGGTGGAACCTTTATGAGGTAGGGCCTAGTCAGAGGTCTTTAAGTCACTGGGGTGTGCCCATAAAGAGGACAGCAAGACGGGTCTCTTCCTTTTTCTTTTTGCTTCTTGGCCATGAGATCAGTGGTTTTGCTACATGCTCCCCACTACGGGGTGCTGGCCAATAAATTATGACCCAGAGCCTCTAAATCTGTGAACCAAAATACAACTTTTGTCTTTCTAAGGTGATTATCTTGTTCTAGGAATGAAAAGCTTACATATTCCCAACTCTTAAATGCTTTCTTTTGCAGGCTGGTGCAATGGCTCAAATGGTAGAGTGCCTGCCTTGCAAGCGTGAAGCTCTGAGTTCAAACTCCAGTCCCACCAAAGAAAAAAAAAAAGTCTTCATTTTGCTGGTAGAGTGGCTCGAATGGTAGAGTGCCTTGCCTAGCAAGCATGAGGCTCTGAGTTCAGAACCAGTACCGAAAAAGAAATTAAATAAAACAAGCATCAAATGCTTTGTTCCTCATGCTAGCCCAATATGAACATCATACAGGGGCTAGAATCCATGTTCTTCATGTTGAACACAGAGGGACACAGTCCGAATTCAAAAAGGGAGATGGAACAGAGCAGAATAGAACCTGAACACACAAACTAGGCAGCAAAGTGTCTGTAGGCACTTACTCATTGACTATTGATAGGTCCAGCTAGGGATCCTTGAGTAGAAGGTCAAGCCCAAAACATACACAAAGGAATGCTGGGAACACAACTGCCATCTGTATGCCAGGCAGAGACCCAGTGCTGCAGACCGTATCTGCTCTGGAAAAGAAGAGCTCATTGTGGACACAAAGACCAGACAGGGGCCACAGACTGACCTTGCCTCACAGCAGAACCCCAAAATGGCCAAATCACATTATTGCCTTCAGCTATTTTCTCTCCAGGCAACAGCCTCCTACGGTCAATCTCACTGTGATCAACAGCAGTGCAACCCATCCCACTTTCCTAGCCAGACTCTGGGAAATCATTCGTTTTGTGTGTATGTGTATGTGCATGTGCATGTGTGCAAGACAAGTTCTTGTTATGTACCCCAGGCCCATCACCTTGAATTCACAATCCTCCTGCTCAGCTTCCAGAATACTGGGCTCACAGGCATTTGCCACCACAGCCAACTGGCTAGCTAGAAACCACTCTTGACTCCCTCTCACCAACACACAGAGTCCTGCTGACTCTGCCTTGAGAGCCTTGCTCTCAGGGAGTTGCTTCTCTCCCTCCCCTCCCTGGGACAAGTTACCATCACCAACCACCAGAGCAACCAGACTCTCTGCTTCTGCTCTGCCACCTACCATCCATTCTCCCCCTAACCTCCGCATCCGAGAAGTCAGCATGCTCTTCATAAAGCAAACTTTTTCTATTTAAAACCTTCTACCCGTTGATGTGGATGTGGAAAAATGAGAACCCTTAATGTATTGATTGTGCAATGTAAAAGTGGTTCTGTCACTGTGGAAAACAAATTGATTATTCCTAACAGTGAACATACAGCCCAGCAATTCCACTACTGGGTATATGTACAAAAGAACTGAAAACAGGTACTCAAATTCTGTATATATGATTCATGGCAGTTCTAGTCACAATAGCCAAAAGGTGTAAACAACTTAAAATGTTCATTTTTGGATGAATGGATAAACAAATGTGGTATCTACATGCAATGGAATATTACTTGACCATCAAAAAGAATGGAGTACTGATAAATGCAACAATGTGGATGAACTTTGAAAACACACTAAACGAAAAGGGCAAATATAAGGTCACATACTGTATGATCAATTTTATGAAACACTTAGAACAGGCAGTCCATAGAAACACAAAGTGCATATGGTTGCCAGCAAATTGGGATAGAGAAAATTGAGGAGTGACTGCTAACAGGCACAGGGTTTTCCTTTTGGAGTGATGACAATGTCCTGGAATGACAGTGGTGATGGTTACAACTCTTTGTGAATATACTAAAAGCACTGAGTTGTACATTTCAAAATGAAGATTAATGGTTGCTGGAAACCAGGCATGAACCCTGGACTGGGAATAATGGAGTTTACACAGCCTCTTCTACCATATTTTTCCCAGCACCTGGTGTCTTGACCTTTGTTCCCACATCTCCTTGAAGAAAACAACCTGCTGTGTCCACATACCAGCCCCCTGATGCAAAACTAGATAAAGTACCAGAACTGTTAGGAAACTCCCTGATGACAGATTAATCAATGTGTTGTAATTAAGCTTCATTAGCCTTAGGAAAATTAGCACACCAAACCTCATTCATTTCACCTTGCATCAAGAATTGTTAAAGTTTGATTTTTACCCGAGTCTTTTCCCTGTACTGACCTATAAAATAAACACTCTGGCTCAGGTAGGCGCTCATGTTTGCCATCAGGAACATGCAGCCCTCCCAATTCCAGCCTTCTGTTTTATGTTTTATGTCTATATATCTGTGTGTGTGTCTCATTTATCATTCCCCGATGCTCTTAGTCAGGTTCACCCAGCATACCCATGCAGGTCTCAGGCAAATGGTATGTGAATTTCAATGAGAAAATGGGCTGAAGGCTCAGCTCAGTGGTAAAGCATGTGATTAGCATGTCATAGGCAAGGAGGGAGGGAGGGAAAGTGGGGATGAGGGAAGATGCTATTTAGACAATGTAGATTTCAAAGGAAAAAATATTACCAGGGATAAAGAAGGTCATCTCATAACTATAAAGGAGTTAATTAAGTTGGGTGGAGTGACTCAAACTTCAGAAATCAGGAGGATCATGGTTCAAGGCTACCCCAGGCAAAACATTTGCGAGACCTCATTTCAACCAATGCCTGGGAGTGGTGTTACACACTGTCATCCCAACCATGCAGGGAAGCAGACAGAAGGATCGGGATCCAGACATTGAATCAGTAGTAAACAAAGCAAGGCTGATGGAGTGGCTCAAGTGGCAAAGTGCCTGCCAAGCCAGTGCAAGGCCCTGAATTCAACCCCCCGTATGGCCAAAGAATAAAAGTACATAAGGCAAAACATGGCAGCAATTGTAAGGAGAAATGGAACAAATCCACAATTATTTTCATTAACAGCCAATAGAACTTGATAACCAAGGCTATTAGAGACTTGAACAACCTGAGTTGACTGACATTTACAGAATTGTTCACCCAACCACCAAATACACATTTGCCTCAAGTGTACCCCAAATATATCAAGACACATCATATTCTGAGCCACTAAACAAGTCTCAATAAATGCAGATGACTAAAATCATATAAAAAACCCCCATCTTCAAAATAACCAGAGGAGACTAAGACGGAGGTATGCTTCAAGCAGTAGAGGGCCTACTTTGCAAGCCTGAAGCCTTGAGTTCAAACCCCAGTCCCACAAAAAAAAAGAAAATTGTCATATAAGGTATATTTTCTGACCACAGTGGAATTTCTTTTTTGATGGTTACTGAGGTTTGAACTCAGGGCCTGGAGCTTGCTAGGCAGGTGCTCTACCCTTGAGCCATACCTCAGGCCTTTTCACTTCAGTTAATTTTCAAATAAGATCTGCCATTTTTGCCCAGGCTGGCCTGGACCATGATCCTATTTATGCCTCCTGCATGGCTGGAATGACAGGCATGCACCATCACACCCAGTTAGTTGGTTGAGATGGGGTTTCACCATCTTTTTGCCCAGGCTGCACTTGAACTTGGCTCTTCTGGATCCAAGGGATTAGGGGATTACAAATGTGAGCCACTGTGCCCAGTCCCAAAGTAAATTTTACAAACTTGTTGTAAATGCTTTTTGAATAAAGGACTGAGTAAAGTGCTGGTGGCTCTCACCTATAATCCTAACTACTCAGGAAACAGAGATCAGGGGGATTGCGGTTCGAAGCCAACCCCAGGCAAATAATTAGTGAGACCCTGTTTCGAAGATTACCCAACCAAAAAAGGGGCAGCAGAGTGGCTCAGGCGGTAAGTGAGCCTGCCTGGCAAAGGCAAGGCCACGAGTTCAAACCCCAGTGCCACCAAAAAAAAAAAAAAAAAAAAAAGGCTGAAGAGCCATAACAAACAAGCTCAGTAACAGATGGACCCTGAGAATAGAAACCAGTTTCCCAGGCCAAAGCAATATCTGAGGAAGAAGTTCCCACTGAAACTCCCAAGGCTGTCATGCAGATTAACAGACACATGCAGCAAATGCCTCAGCAGATCCTATTGTGCACAGGCTGTTTTAGAAACAAACAAGGGTCATTTCCTTTTGGTAGAGTTTACCATGTTCTGTAGGAAACCCTCTTTTGTATGTGTGTGTTTGTGGTGACAGGAATCGAACCCAGCACCTTGAGTGTGCTAGGCAAGTGCTCTAACATTGAGCTCTACACCCAGCCTTCACATAACTCCTGAGCAAAGAAGTGAACCAAAGTCCTAACTCCAAATATTCCATGTTACCGTGTCTTGGGGTTGTTTTCATGATGCCCACAGAACAAAATAACTGCAGTAGACAATGGGTCAAGAGCTTCTTCTCACAGCCTATTAACGGGTAATGGCATTTTCCAAAATTCCAAGTGCTCTCAGACCTGAAGGCAAAGAATGAACTGACAGGCTAATAGAGTTCCATGAGGGAAATCGTCAGGCAAAACAGATTGACTAGGGCTGGTGGAGTGGCTCAAGTGGTAGTGCGCCTGCCTGGCAATCGTGAGGCCCTAAGTTCAAACTCCAATCCCTCCAAAAAAACAGCAAGTAAGGTGAGGCAACAGGCAGCTGAGTCACTGGCATCAAATAAAAATGTCAGAAAGATCTAGAGCAGTCTCCCAAGCAAGTGGTCTCCCCTCCATCCTTTCCTTCAGGCTCTATCACATAGGGTCCAGAAAGAAAGACAGAGGTTGGCAGTGACTGCAACAGAAACTAGGCTGGGAAACACTAAAACAGAGGTGTAGAGAAAACAGTAACACTTGGTTAGAAATACCAACCAACACAAAAGTGAAATAAAAGTAGAGAGACAAAGGGGGCATTTAGTTTAAGTAAATTTAATGACTGTAGAAAGTGTTCCCATAGTAGCAAAGATGCGTCTTCCCATTTGATGCAAAGTTGCTTCTCCTTTTTCCTTGCAGCTCCGTCTCCAAAGTTTCACTGCCTCTTCCAGCAGTGACCAGACATGTCTCCTGCCTTATGAGAAGGACTGCCCAAGTGCACTGAGGCCAGCCACTCAGGTCAGCAATATGCCAAGGAGTCTTTCAGAGTGGTCCTACAGAGGCCATGTCCTTTGAGTGTCTGAGAGCTGGCAGAGGTGATCTAAAAGAAAACCAGTCAAAGGCAAGGTAACCAGGACTGCACCATGGGGACTGAATGTAGAGCCTCTATAGGAGAGGCACCAAAAGGAAGCTGATGGAGGTGACAAGCCAGCAGAGATGGTGTGGCTCCTGTGTGCCTCCAACTCTGGGATAAGAGATGTCTGATGCAACAACAATGCATAAAAAGTAAGAAGTCGGGGTGGGGGGGGTGACAAAGGAAAATGATGGAGGGGGTGAATTTCATTAAGATATATGTAAGCACTTTTGTAAATATCACAATGGACCTCCAGTACAACAATAAAAAAAAGTATTTTTATGTAAGCAAAAATTAATTGGAGGTGCTCTAAGAATGGTGCAAGTAAAAAAAAAAAAAAAAAAAAGTCAGTCACTGCTCCAGTCAGTCCAGTCCTCCCCAAACAACTGTTTGTCCCTTTTCTTTTGGGAGGTGGTTCAGTCCCAATTCTAAACATAAGATTTGGATGTGAGCCACCTGTCTTCTGGTCCCAGGAGTGAGCTGGGACCCACGCTGGGCTAGTTAAATCCATCATTAGAATATTTACAGCCATAATTTGGTGGGAAAAATTTCTCTTTCCTCTCTAATTGAGGGCTGAAAGGCTGGGACCCCAAAGTTACCAGTGGTCACATTCCTCACCAGAACAAGTCAGTCCATTAGAAAATATTTACTGAGTGCTTATTGTATACTAGGAATTACCCCAGCTGCTAGACATACAGAGGTAAACAAAACAGGTATTTCCGTGCCCTCAAAGGAGCTTTTAGAATAAGACAGGTACTAAGTATATATACAGATGCTTTCAGACACTGGAAAGTGCTATGGAGATAAAGCAGGTTAAGGACGTAAACCAGGACGAAAGTAAGGCAGCGAAATTGCTTCAAAATGACAATGTCCAGGAAAGTCCTAAGAAGTGATATATGAAAGTTAAAAAGAAATCCAGGAGAATCTGATGAATCTTAGTAATTTTTGAAAAAGGATCTAACTAGTAGCCCAGGCTAGCATTAACTCATAATCTTCCTGCCTCGGTCTCCCCAGTGCTGGGACTACAGGCATGAGCCACAATGCCTGACTTAAAAATATTTTTTTTTTTTTTTTTTTTTGCTTTTTAGTGGTACTGGGGTTTGAACTCAGGGCTCTGAGCTAGCTAAGCTAGGCAGGCCCTCTACCATTTGAGCCACTCCATCAACCCTTTTTTGTGAGGGTTTTTCGATATGGGGTCTTGGGGACTATCCTCCAGTTAATATTCTTAATGTAGGTGATAGTTACATGGAAAAGTCATCAAAGAATTTACTTTTAATGTGAATAATTTTCTATATTTATGATATATTTCAAAATAATAATTCATTTAAAAAATACAGAAGCAAAAGACCAGGGAAGAGACTTAAGAGACATTCTGTAGAAAAAGCTGAAACAAGCTACAGATGGAGAGTGCAGGAAAGCACGTAACTATTTCTAGCTTGAGCAACTGAGTGGTGCCAGAGTGGTTCCTGAGATGGAGAAGGCTTGAAAAGAAGAAAATTGCAGCAAAGTGGGAGAAATTAATTCTATCTTGGCCACATTAAGTTTAAGATGTAAGAGAGATGGGAGGTAAATGCAAATTTCTTGAGAGAACAGGGAGAAATGAAAGAGAAGGCACAAGAGGCAGCAATGACATTAGAAGATGTCATTTGAAGACATTCCAGGTAGGGCCAAGTGTAGTGGCTCAAGCCTATAATTCTAACTTCTCAAAAGGCAAAGATTGGAAGGATCACAATTCAAGGCCTGCCCAACAAAATGTTCGGAAGACCCCATCTCAACCAATGGCTGGATGTGGTGGTACATGCCTGTCATCCCAGCTATGCAGGGAAGCACAAATAGAAGGATCCTGGTCCAGGCCAGCCCAGGCATAGAGCAAGACCCTATCTCAAAAATAACCAAGGCAAAAAGGTGCTCAAGCGGTAGAGCACCCACATAAAAAGCACAAGGCCCTGAGTTCAACCCCAGTACTGCCTTTAAAAAAAAAAAGTCCCAAGTGTGAAGACAGCACGTATGGGTAGAGAGGCAAGTAGGCTGGTAAAAATAAAGAGACAGGAAGTTTCATCTGATTTTAACAACATGCAACATGAGACAAAAACATTAGCAAAGATGAGTGATGGCATAGGCGAGTGGAGATTTAAGGAGAAAGAGTGGGAAGGCAATTGAATAGGAAAATATAGTAGGATGACAACTTCAGAGCCATACTGTAGGTTCATTTGCATTTTGTAGTCTTCATGCAGCAAAGACTTTTTTTTTTGCAGAACTGGGGCTTGAACTCAGAGCCTCGTGCTTGCTAGGCAGGTGCTCTACCCTTTTTTGCATTGGTATTTTCAAGATAGGGTCTAGAGAACTATTTGCCCAGGTTGGCCTAAAACCTTGATTCTCCTGATCTCTGCCTTCCCAGTAGCTAGGATTACTGGTGTAAGCCACCAGCACCCAGCTTGGCAAAGACTATTAATCCCCCAACATCCCTTCTCTTCTTGTTCCTCAATAACAGAACTCCCAATCTTTATTTAGCTGGCCATTCAGAATGAAGACCATACCTCTCAGCTTCTTGGTAGTCAGGTGTGTCATGTGTATGGAGCTTCTGCAAAGCATCCTGAAAGGAAGAGGGCATGCCCTTCTCCTCTCATTGTTTTTCCCCTTCCTACTTGATAAAATACAGACATGGTGGCTAGAGCAGCCATCCTGGATATGAGGTGACCTGGACAAAGGCAGAACAAAAGACAGAGGACCTTTGAGCCCTGAGAGTCAGGAAGCAACCTATAGGCACCAGTCCTGGACGCTCCATATCCAGAGTCTTAGGAGGAAGAGGACTCCTATCTTATAGAAGCCACTGTATTTTGAGTTTTCTGTAAACACCCATAACCTAACCCATTATCTACCTGCACTTCTCCCAGCGATGTTCAGTTCTTGGAGGCAGATGCACAGTAAGCAGGTGACCACTGGGGTTGCAGTTTAGACGAAGAAGGAAAAGGAAATAAGAAAGTGAAATTTATGAGGCTCTAGTGCAGCTCAGAGACTCTAAGTGGAAAGAACTTGGGGACAACAGAGATTGGTGACAGAGAAGGAACCAAAAGACCCCTGGTCACAGCTCCTTCTTCATATTAGTCCTTTGTGTTGAATTTATGTCACTTGAGAACAAAAGAGTTTTGAGTAACTCAACATCACCTTTCTTTCTGTCCAAATAGAATTTTTCCATTTTGCAAAAGAATACCATACTAATACTGCAACCCCTTTTTCTCCAAGTGAGCCATAGCTACAGTGGGAAGAAAGTTAGAGGAGGTATGAGAAAACAACTAAAAGTCAAAGAAGCAAACTTTCAGAAGAAAGACAAAAATTACCAAGGAAAAAAAGAATGACTAGAGTAGTCTATGAAGGATTATTTCCCGATCAATCTCATTGCTGACTGGTAGGAATCACTTCCCTTAGGAAATTCGCAAGTAATGTTTAAGGAAGACATTTTTGTAAGCCACAGTCAAGGCAAGGACAAAAGAGAGCGGGATCATTTAGTCCCATCCAACAAAATAATTGTGCTCTGAGTTTTTTGTCAGATGGACAGAACAAGGGAGCATAGTTCATGCAGGAACAGAAAAGTTCTGAGTGGTGATAAAATGTCCAGATTGAGTTACAGAAGTTACGTATCAAGAGAATGAGCCTCCTTTGCATGCAAGTCATGAGGTATGGCTCCCATCACTCAAGGCAGGTAATAAAAGCAAGGACAGAAAGCAGAGTGGAAGCTGAGGCACAATGAAGTAAGCAGGGCATCACTGGGCAACATCAGCAGAAATAGAAGCACCCTGTCTGCATCTCTCCCTACGTGCAGAGAAGCATCTCTGCTCCTGCTCACTCGTCAGAACATGCCCTGCCAGCAACTGGTTCCAAGGCAAAGAGAACCAAAAAGAAGGGAAGATGGCAGTGGCAGACCTGTGGCAGTATGAGAAGAGAAGGGAGGAAGGAAGGAAGGGAAGAAGACAGGAAAAACAGGAGGACTATCCCCCAAGTAAAGGGGGAAAAAGAAGGGAAAATTCATAGGCGTACAGCTACATCTGCCAGCCCAGGAAAGGAACCCAGGACACCAGAGCACATGTAAATTAAGGACTGTGGGTATCAGAAATCACAAAAGGTGTGTTGACCTCTGGCAGAGCACACCCTCAACTCACTCAAAATCACTTACACTCCTGGGCTCTCTGCTCAGGAAATCACACACTACTACATCTCCAAGCTAACCACATATCCCACCACCACCAAAAAAAAATCCCTTCCAGAGAAGGGGAAAAGTTAAGAAAAGCAAAAGGCATTAGCTAGGAGCAATCTAAAATTCAATCCAAAGTGCCCTTACACAGGTTGAAAAGAAATTTTTATTTTAATAAAAAATTGCTCTACAAAAAAACTTTATCCAGATTATCTAAACCAACACTTATTTCACAATGCAAAAACCTAAAGCAACATCTTACCTTCACCAGAACATAGTCCCCAGGCTGGGCTCTGACCTTGAGCCCAGGGTTAGTGGCATCCTCCATCTCTGCATCAGGGAAGATCACCTTAAGGTTTCCATCATTCCGGCCACACAAGTCAGCAGAAGAGCGTTTACTGAGCTGCAGAAAGAAAAGAGAAGAGTTTATGCATCTGTCACAGTCGTAAGTTCCAAGTGGGTCAAAACTGCCTTCTCTGTCTCAGACCCTCTAGGTTTTTTACCACAGAGCATTCCTCAACGAAGAAATCCTAAAGGCTCAATGTCTACTGCTGCTTCACCAACAAAGCCAGGGCAGGGCATGCAACAGAACTCCATCAAGTTTTGCTAACTATATTTTAATGAACGAATCAATGAGACTTTGCAGGACTGCCTTTTGCAGAAATGAACTTGCAACGAGCCCAGGTACTTGTGGATGATGAAACCAACCAACTTTCATGTTTCCCCATCTCATACTAATCATTTGGGTAGGAATGCTCAACAACTGTTTGGCCTGCTTACTTTCCCCTACATTTGAAGCCAGAGTCTCCTTCACAACCTGGGGCCAGAAGAAGCAAACCACTTTCTCTTTCCCTTCCAGCAATGACACAATGACAGAAACCAAATTTACCTCCAGCCTTAATCAGGAAACAGGATAAAACATAAGAAACAACTGTTTTCGACACTAGACAGCAGATCACACAAGGCTGTAAGAGAAGTGGGCCCTCCAATCACTCCCTCCTTTCAACCAGGAGGCCTGTACCAGCCTAGAGGGAAATTTCATGCAGGACATAGAGGTTCTCTCTCCATTAAGACAGAGAAAGGATCAAAGTTCAGGCTGCCTGAGGTAGCTAAAAATTCTGAAGCTAATTTTGGAGAGAAGAGAGCTACACAGAAAAAGAGCTCTAGAAATATGTATGGGTTCCCTTGAGTCTGCTGACTACTAATATATGCATGTGCAGAGTAAAACTTCATGGATTAGGCCAACAGAGTAACCTGGAAACTGTCAGCTAAACAGCTCCCAGAGCTCACACAGTGCTAGAAATCATTTGTTCTACCACAGACAGTCTTCATTGGCTCCTTGGGACATTCAGTAACAACACCTGAAAGACCACATAATTAGTTGCAAGGCTTAACTATCCCTGAAATAAAAAAGCATTTCTAACAAAGCTTAAAAAAAAAAAAAATCTGAGGGCTGAGTGGAGGTAGCTCAATGGTAAAAGTACCAATAACAATGATGGAATCAGCACAGAGATGTTAAGTCAACTTTAACAACTAAATACACAGATGAAACTTAAGTTTCACAGGAGAATAAGAACATAAAAAGGAAAGAAGTAGAAAATATATAAAAAGGAACCAAAGGTACCTTATAGCAATGAAAAATATAGTATCAAAAATTCAGTGGGTGATTGCAGATCAGACACTGCCAAAGAAAATAATACTGAACCTAAACAAAATGAAATGGAGACAGAGACAGAAAAAAAATGAACAATCTCAGTGACCTATGGAACAATATCAAATGGTTGGACATAGGCATAATTGGAGGACAGAAGGAGATAAGAAACAGTAAGGAGAAGTGAAGAGGGAACAATACAGAAAAACGTTTGAAAACTAATATGAAATTTCTCCAGATTTGATAAAGACCATAAACCCAGAAACTAAAATGCCTAAACAAACACCGAAGAAAACACAAAGGGTAAACACAAAGGAAACTATACCAAGACACATTAAACTGCTAAAAATACTGACAAAGCAAAAAATCTTAAAAGCAGCCAGGGAAAAGAGACATTTTATGTACAAAGGAAGGAAAGTAAAATTATCACACACATCAGAAGTATAGTGTCACACACAGACAGAATGTCACCTTCCAAATGTCAACCTAAAATTCAATACTCAAGGGAAATAAATCTTAAAAACATAAAGACTTTTTCAGAAAAACAAAAGCTGAGAGGATTCATTGCCAAAAAACCTGCACTGAAAGAAACATTAAACTTAGTTTTTCAAGCACAAAGAAAATTCTATCAAATGGAGCTTCAATGTGGACATTAGATCAAGGGCAAACACAACAATGGGATTGGACTATGAGCACATGATAAAAGCGAGAGCACACAAGGGAGGGGTGAGGATAGGTAAGACACCTAAAAAATTAGCTAGCATTTGTTGCCCTTAACGCAGAGAAACTAAAGCAGATACCTTAAAAGCAACTGAGGCCAATAGGAAAAGGGGAACAGGAACTAGAGAAAAGGTTAGATCAAAAAGAATTAACCTAGAAGGTAACACCCACGCACAGGAAATCAATGTGAGTCAATGCCCTGTATAGCTATCCTTATCTCAACCAGTAAAAACCCTTGTTCCTTCCTATTATGGCTTATACTCTCTCTACAACAAAATTAGAAATAAGGGCAAAATAGTTTCTGCTGGGTATTGAGGGGGTAGGGGGAAGAGGGAGGGGGCGGAGTGGGTGGTAAGGGAGGGGTGGGGGCAGGGGGGAGAAATGACCCAAGCCTTATATGCACATATGAATAATAAAAAAAAAAAAAATGGAGCTTCAATGTGCAAAAGAATGAAGATGGCCAGAAATAGTGAACTTTTTTCTCATTTTTTAAAGATTAAAAAAAAATAATTTTCCTCAAAGAAAAACATCAATGACTTGGGATACAGAAGTAAAAATCTATAACAATCACATAAAAAATAAGAAGGATCAAAATACATTGTTATAAGGATCTTATATTACACATGTTGAAAGATGTCCTATCTGAGTTTAAAACAATGACCAAAAGGAGGCAAATAGGGACTTTCAAATCCTGCATTATATCCTTGTTCCATTTGCCCTTAGAAAATCAAGCTCTACTTGCTGGGTTTTTTTTGTTGTTTTTTTGTTTTGTTTTGTTTTGTTTTGGGCAGTACTCGGGCTTGAACTCAGGGCCTCACACCAGCCTAACTGCTATACTCTAAGTGATCAAAAACACAGGAGGGAGCTTAGTCTTTAATACTGCTTTTGGGAAACAGCAGCCAAGTAAGATTTAATAAGATTCTCTACTATTCCCTGCAAAATACTTACCTGTTATAAAAGGAAAAAAAAAAGTTTACAGTCAAGAAGCCTAGCAGATACCATTTTCATGAAGTTTTCAAAGAAGCATCAGCAGTAGTGAGACAAATCAAATTTGTATGCCACCTCTTAGGATACAATTAAGAAACTTACATGTGGTCTGAGGGTGCCTGGTAGTAACCTAACAAGGTTAATTTCCCAATTTTGATACCTCTACTACAGTTGTGTAGTACATACTACAGCATTCATGGGTTTGGGACATGAAGTTAGTATCTTGCTCTCAGATTATTCACGGGAAAAAAATTCTTTGTACTGTACTTACAACTTTGGTGTAGATTTGTGATAATTTTATAATTTACTATCAGTACTTTACAAAGAGTACAGGTTCCATGATTTAAATGAATCAAGTGCAAAAGAACATTCATGAGACAAACAGGAATACTAGAACACTAGCTAAATATTTGATAATATTAAGAAATTTTTGCCAATTATTTGCAGATATGATATTAGTATTATGCTTATACAGTTTTTTTTTAAAGTCTTTTTCTCTTAGAGATACATACTGAAGTATTTACTAAAGAAATAATGATTTCATATGCTTGATTCAGAATAAGCCAGTAGGGATAGCAGAAATGAAGAAAGATCAGCTAGCTATGTTTTGAGAGGGTTGAGGCTAGTTAATAGACCATGGGTGTTTGTTACACTACTCTCTCTATATCTATACATGTTATAAATTCTCCATAATATAAAAACGGGGGATATGTGGGAACATAGGTTCTGGAGTAAGACAGACCTGGGTCAGAATCTGGTTCAGGTTTGTTGGTTGTGGCTGTTTCTGTTTTTGCCATTTGGCTTAGGCTGATACTATCAGAGAGTCCCAACAAACACAAACAGCAGACATACGGTTGCTTTGATGCTGCCATATCCCACAGCAAAGAGCAGGACAGTCCTCCTCAACCAGGACTTGGGAAGAGCCACAGAGAGGGCCTGCCTCTCCAATGACTGGAGCCGGTCACTTCACAAAAGATCTGGGTCCCTGACTCAACTCAACTTATCCCATTTTTTCATGCTGTAAATGATGGCAAGGTCCTCAGGCTTACCCAAGAAGCCTACAGGCACCTCAAATTCCTCAAGTACAGTACCTTTCTGTACTTCCTATAGTCATACTGTAGAAAGTATGACTTTAAAAAAAGGAAAGCAAATGACAGAACTGATTCTAAAAATATACATATGATTTTGCTTCCAGGAAGATGGAGTAAACATGTCTCCTTAGTGTTTCTGCTAAGTGCAACTAAAAATCACAAAGATTATATATAAAACAAACATAAGACACTGAAAAAAGTTCAGTGAACAATAGAAACTACCCAATATAAACAGAAAAGAGAATACAGACTGAAGAGAAAGAAAAAAAAAAGAACAGAGTCTTAGGTACCTGTGGAACAATAACAAAAAATCTATTATGGTTGACATTCATCATGGAATTACAGAAGAAGAGAAAGGGGGCTAAGAAAGTATTCAAAGAAATAGGGGCTAAATACTTCTCAAATTTGGCAAAAGATATGAATTCCTAGCCAGGTACGGTGGCACACATCTGTAATCCCAGTCCTTGGGAGCCTTAGGCAGGAAGATCGTGAATTTGAAGCCAGCCTGGAGACCCTTTATCAAAGGAAAAATGAAACAAAATATAAACTCCTGACAAAATAAATCCAAAGAAATCAACACCAAGTCAAACTTCTGAGCACTAAACACTTACGAAAAAGTCTTGAAAGCAGTAAGAAAGAAATGACATCTTCCCTAAAAGGAAAAAAAATCACAATGAAAAGTTTCATGATTTCTCATCAGAAACCATGGGGACCAGAAAGAAGTGGCACAACATTTTTTAAGAGCTGAAAGAAAAGCATTATCAATCCAGAATATAATATCCAGCAAAAATATTCGTCATGAATGAAGAGGAAATGACGATATTCCAAAATGAAAGAAAACCAAGAGAATCTGTCACCAGAGTGGCTAAAAGAAGTTCTCTAACAGAAAAGAAAAAGTAAAAGAAGGAACCCTGGAACATCAGGAAGGAAGAAAAACATGGTGGCATGACTATACACACAGGAAAATCTCAAAGAAACTACAAAAACAACAAACCAAAAAAAAAAACCTACAACAACTGAGTTCAACAAGGTCACAGGATAAAAGATAAACACAAAAAATTTAATTACAGGGCTGGAGGTGTAGCTCAAGTGGAAGAGAGCCAACCTAGCAAGTGCAAGGCCCTTAGTTCAAAGCCCAAAACTGGAAAAAAAAAATTCAATTGCAGCCAGGCGTCTGTGGTGTGTGGCAGCCCACCCTATAAAGCCCAGCATTCAGGAGGCTGAGGCAGGACGATCAACAGTTTGAGGCCAGTCTGAACTACATAGGCACACCCCCTACACACACACACCCAAAAAAAGCAGTGTAAAAAAACTTCAACTGCTTTTCTATATAGTAGCAATGATCATGGATCCCAAAACTGAAAATACCATTTACAATAGCTCCAAAAATGTTTTTAAATGAAATACTGAGATATAAATATTACAAAACATGTATAACATTGAAAACTACAAAAACACTGATTTACAAAAAACAAACATAATTTAAATAATTGAGAGACATACTGTATTGTAAACAAAAAATAAAATAGATACATATGGCCTCACCCCCTCGACCAGTACCAGCTGGGTACAACCCACAGAGGTCTTATTGGCTTCAGAAGCTTCTTCTCGGAAGACAGTGATAAGTTCCTCCAAACGCCTTAATTTTACTTTTTCTGGGACATCGTCCTTCAGCCTGTGATATGCCCGTGTCTTCTATTAATTAAAAAAAAAATGGAGGAGGTTACTAAGGACCTGGAAAATCCACTCTCAGGGATTATAGAGAAAATATGTTCATTCTACCTGCAACTTACAAATATATGTACAAAAACCCAAGCCTGAATTTGATCTATTTCTGGGATTCTGGGAGTACTGCATAAGAAAAAAGTAACTCTGAACTGTAATCACATTTTTACAAGGTTAAAACTCTAAATTTAGAACATGATAATCACAAACTCAAAATTACTCTTCATATTTACCCTGTGGTTACAATAGGACATATACTAAGTGATTCATACACCAGGTTATTCATCAGCAGTTTATAAAGACACAAGGTGCAAAGCAGTCTAATGCTTACCAATAGGCACCTAGTAAATTATAGTACTATGCACTTGTTAATAAGAATGATAGCGGGGGGGGGGATAAAGGAGAATGATGGAGGGGGTGAACTCAATTATGATCTATTTGATATATTGCAAGAACTTTTGTGTAAATGCCACAATGTACCCCCAACATAACAATAAAAATTTAAAAAGAGAAAATGATAGCTCTAAGCCAAGCATGGTAGTACATGAATATAATCCCAGCACTCAGGATGCTGAGGCAGGAAGATACTGGAGTTAGAGGCCAACCTCGGCTACATAGTGAGACACTGCCTCAAAAAAAGAAAAGAAGAAAGCCAGGCATTCAGTGGCTCACGAATATAATCCTAGCTACTTGGGAGGCTGAGATTGGGAAGACTGTGGTTCAAGGCCAGTCCAGGCAAACAGTTTGAGAGACCCCCCCATCTACAAAATAACCAGAGCAAAATATGACTGGAGGTGTGGCTCAAGAGGTAAAATGCCTGCTTTGCAAGTGTGAAGCCCTGAACTTAAACCCCAGTCCCACTGAAAAATAAAAAAAGGTACATTTTGTCATATAGTAGACAAGAGTTAAGTAGAAAAAAGAAAAAGAAGTGGATAGTAAGAGCCTGTGGTTTTACAAGGACTGTTTGCAGCCACTTTCTTTTCTGCCCAGCTATCCAAATAGCCCCACGCTGGTCAGGATTGCTGGCAGCCCTCCCCCATACCAGTCTCACCTGTCTCATACTATAGGCAAAGAGGAAGCCCATGTTGTACTGAACTTCCCGAAGCAAAGACACTGTTTGAAGATGATCTTCCTCTGTCTCCCCACAAAAGCCAGCAATGAAGTCACTGCTGAGGCTCACACCTGTCATACACAACAAAGGACAAAGGACAACAGGGTGTTGCTGCTTACCTTCAAGAGGAACATTTGGTATTATGGAGTAGAGGGAGGCAAAGCCATTGCAAGGCCTTCCCCAGGGCTACTCAGTCTCATCCAGGAGAACAGTCATTACAGAGCAAGGGCGGAGGGGCTACCTGCCCACCACTTTCTAGCCACAGCTATTTCTTAGCCCACATTTCCAGAGCACTGAAAAAGATATTTTCACTTCAAAGGCGAGATTTAGAGGCACATTAGGAATCTACATTTTCAAATTGGATGTGCATTTTTTTTTTTTGCAGTGCTACAGATCAAATTTAGGGCCTTGCACATGCATGCTAGACAAGCTCTCTACCACTGACCTACATCCCCAGCCCATATCTCTATATTTTAATTAATACATAATAATTACACATTCTCATGGAGTAAAACATTGAATTTAGGTTGACACAGGCTCGTTTAACATAGTGGCAGCAACTGCCAGATACTGAATTCTTATGAAGTGCCATACTCCAGCATCTATTTAGCCCAATTTACTCAACTATCCCAATGATCAAATGAGACCAATACTATTAACTACATTTTATGAATGAGGAAACTTCAGTCAAAAGAAGGAAGTATGCTTTCTGTTATCACACAGCCCGTAACATGGCCCTTAACCCAAAGCTGGTAAACCTAGTCTGCACTATCCTACACCATCAGAATAAAAATATTGTGAATACAAGCTGCAATAGTTTAGAAATTTGGGGGGAAATTTAGATAGCTCAACAAAATCTAAATTAAAACACTAGAATAATTTTACTACATGGAAGGGGAAAGAGAAAGGGAATAAGGGTTAAGATAATAGAAAAGAAATTAACTCTAAATTTTACACTAATAAGTTGCTATAAAACTAATTAGTCAGGCATGGTGGCACACACCTGCAATCTCAGCACACAGAAAGTGGAAGCAGCAGAATTGCAAGTTCAAGGCCAATCTGAGCTAAATAACTCATTACTTAATGAATAATGGGTCATTGATGAAATAAAAGAGGAAATTAAAAAGTTCCTGGAAGTCAATGAAAATGAAAACACAACCTACCGGAACCTATGGGACACAGCTAAGGCAGTCCTGAGAGGAAAGTTTATAGCCATGAGTGCATATATTAAAAAGACTGAAAGATCCCAAATCAATGACCTAATGATACATCTCAAACTCCTAGAAAAACAAGAACAAGCAAATCCCAAAACAAACCCCAGTACCACTAAAAAAAAAAAAAAAAAAAATTTTTTTAAAGTATCAATTGCCCAAATCAGAATTAACTTAGACCATAACTTTGCCAGCTTATAAGGAAAAGGCTAAAGTCTTTCCCACAGGTTCAGAAACACAAAGACTACAGAAAAAATTTCTTTAGTCTTGATACTACAAGCTGATCTGCATCTCTGAGTATTTCTAGCACCACCAGAAATTCAGAAAGATGATGGGCATGGTGGTGCCTAATTGTACTCCCAGCTACTCCAGAAGATGAGTAGGAGGATCTCAAGTTCAAGACCAGACTAGACAATTTAGTGAGGCTCTGTCTCAAATTAAAAAACAAAAAAAAAGTAAGAGGCGAGGAATATAGTTCGTTGGTAGAGCACTTGCCTAACAGGTATGAAACCCTGAGTTCAATCCCTAGTACCACCAAAATTTTTTTTAAAAATCAGAAAGATGTAAAAGAAAGTGTAGAAGGAGGGGAGGCAGGGGAACTAACTAAAGAGGAGCAAAAGAAGTATGAAATAGTGTTACAAGGAACTGCCAAAGTGGATAGTGGCTGCCCACACGTGACCAAGACAACTGTGAGCTGCGCTCAGCATTTCTTAAAACATACCTGGAATAGATTCTCTGATATGGTGAACCAACTCCACATAAGCTTCTCTTGAATATCTGCAAGACAGAACAAAAAGATGGGGAAGGGGGATCAGGGAGAATGATGCTGAGGGTGAACCTAACCAGAGCACACTGTAAAAGTATATATGGAAATGTCATAATGAAACCCTCTACACAACTAATATATGCAATAAAAATGTTTAAAAAAGAAAAGCAAAAATCTTCTTTAAATAAATATCATAATAAGATAACACAAAGAATTCCCACATGTGGTCACGTTTCATCCATACAATGCAGTACAGGAGAAAGGTTAAAGTATCCAGAGAGGCCTTTTGATCAAACTCTCTTATTCTAGAGCCTATGAATTTTTATTTTAAATAGTCTCTTAGCCAGGTGCTCTACCACTTGAGCCATTCCACCAGTCCTTAAATAGTCTCTTTATTTAATAAGTCAAGACAAATTAAACATTTAAGAGAATGTCTAAAACTCTACCACTTGCCTTGGGCTGCATTTGCCCCCTTCCTCAGTCTTACCTCTGCAATACTTACTATTCGCAAAGTTAAGTGAAGGGCCTACAACAAACATTTACTGAGTAGCTTCTGATGCCATGTACATGCTAGGTTCTTAGCAATATGGACACTGTTTGGTTATTAAGGAAAGGTGTGGGATGTTCCCTCCCTAAGTGAGTCTCACCCCCTCCGCATGGCGTCCAGCACACGGCTGCTTCCACTCTGGGCTGGCAGATGGATCTGCTTACAGATGTTGTCTCTCTCATGAATCAGCTGCAGAACCTGATTAATTAGAACATATTAGAGGTCATCCAAGTCTCATCACAGAATCTTTCAGAAAGAATACCACTCGCATTGCTTCTTCTCCAATTTTAATCTTCAAGAAATTAAAAGGTTGATCAGCAGAGTGCCAGTGGCTCACGCCTATAAACCTTGTTCCAAAGGGACATCAGTTCCAGAGGATGGCACAGCAATACTCCACAGGATCCCCAGTCTCTGCTGCATCCTACTGGGTCCAGCCTGTTGGATGCTCAGGCATTGGTATTAGTTTGTCACACAGTTAACTGATAGCACTCACCTCATCAGGAAAATCCTTGGGGTGGGGAGAGGTAAAACGGATCCTCATTTCAGGATCAATTCTGGAAACTAGATCCAGAAGGTGAGAGAAACGAAGTCCTCCTTGTTTGGTTTTATAGTTCGTCGTAAAACCACGGCTCAGGTTGGTGGACACTGCATTGTTGAACTGGACCTCTGAATTGTCCCGAAAACTATTCACATTCTGACCTAAAAGTGTCACTTCTTTCAGTCCCTAAAAAAAGGGAAAATATGGGGGCTGCAGGTATGGCTCAAGCAGTACAGGGCTGCTCTGCAAGTGCAGAGCCCTGAATTCAAACCCCAGTCCCACCAAAAGAAAAAAAACAGCAAATTACTGGAAGCAAGTTTAAAACTTGTTGAGCAGTTTCATGCCAAATCACTAATTTACTAAAATTAAAAATTAGCTGAACCTACCACAGCCACTTGTAAATGTGTTCTGTCCTTAACCCAATAATTTGAGGCTTGGGCATCTTATCTACAGAACTGAACTTCAAAATGAAACCTTAAGTCAAAATTAATCCTTGAAACATTACTGAGAATAGTTAAAAAACTAGAAACAAACTCAATGTACAATATAATGATTAATTTCTGCAGGGCTAAAAGACAAAAGGACATCTGTCAAAGAAAAGTACAATATTCTGTATTCTATTTAGACTGTAGTGTAAAAACTTTTACATTTAGCCTCTAGTCCAAAAATGTAAATGAAAGAAAAAATCTTAAAGAAGTTACTCTACAAGCAAAATAGGTAAGTGACTAGTAATTACTTTAAAACACAAGCCTATAATCCCAACTACTCAGGAAGCAGAAAACAGGAGGATCTCAGTTCAAAGTTAGCCTAAGCAAATAGTTCTCAAGACCCAGCACAAAAAAGGGCTGGTGGAGTGGCTCAAGAGGTACAGCGCCTGCCTAGTAAGCATGAGGCCCTAAATTCAAACCCCAGTACCATCAAAAAAAAAAAAAAAAAACCCCACAACACACACACACAAGCAAAATCTGAACTTTCCTTGAATTTACTGCAATTCACTTTAATGTGAAGTTCTTCCCTTTGTGTATACAAACCACCTACACAGGTTAGGAAGTTTCTGTCATCATCTCAATCTGTTTAAACAGAATTATGCCTATCCTGAAGGAGTGAATTTTGTATGGTGGGAGAATTGGGGGGAAGAAAGAAACAACTTTAAGCCAAAAAGCACTTAAATGTTTGGGTGAGGACAAGACCAAATCAGGGCAGGATTATGTGGGGAGAGAGGACAGAGGGAAGAGAAGAGAGCACTGCCAGCATTTGAGCACAAGACAAAGCAGGCTTAGAACTGGTGAAACCAAGCCTCTGACTGCCATGGCTCCTAAGCCAAACAAGGAAGGAAATAGGGAAACTCACTGGAAGAGAAGGACCACATACTCACCTACGTCCTCTTCTGCAGGGCTAGAAAATTCAGGCCTGGGGAGTGGGAGAGACCTACCCAAAGGCCGGGACCAGCTTCTCATAGGAGGTAGAGGAACATGCCTCTCCCCTCTGACCTATGACCTCACTCACTCCTCTCCTCTGTTCTCAGTCCCTCAACTCATGAGCTGGCTCAGTGTTAAACAAGAGATATGAGAGGTTCCCCTAGACTAGGCAGACAGACTAACACATCATTCCCCCCAAACCAACTATGCGCCAAGTAGTTTAAAAACATTTTCTCAATCATTCCAATAGCCCTGCAAAGAAGGTATTATATCTTCTTTTCTTGTATGGAGAAAGTTTCAAAGATGGTTAAATGACTTTTGCTTTCACACCAAGGAAGAATTCATACTCAGTTGCCTAAACTCATGTTCTCACCACTGCACTATGCCACCTCCTCAGCAAACATCACAGAGGAGCTGCCTGTAATTTATGGGCAGCAAAAAAAGATATACATCTGGGTACTGCTTCTGGCCAGACAGGTCCCTAAACTTGTGCAACCTAGAGATAGCACAGGCTGCAAAACCAGGAAGGCTGTCCTCATCCTCCCAAAACATACTCACAGGGAGACAACCTGGAGAACTTCTTACCTGCTCCGAGAGCTTCCTCACTTCCTCTAGAATGGAGGCAATGGGTCGACTCCTCTCCCGGCCACGTGTGAAAGGGACAATGCAGTAGCTGCACATGTTGTCACAGCCCCGCATGATTGACCTGGGGAAAAAAGTACCAGAACTTAGACACCAGGGCATCTTGGCATGACACCAAGGAGCAGGTCAAGTTCCCTTGGGATTATTCTTTGGTTCTGAATCCTCTTGTTTCCCTGTTCACATTGAACCAATCTGAGATTTACAAAACACTAAGGCAGGCATTTTTTATCTAGAAAAACTATCATCTAATCATAGAAAATAAATCAAACTGTAACTGGAGGACACAGTGATTAGCCTGAGGAAGTACAATAGTAGACTTTCCACTGTTTTTATAGGTGCATTACTTGAACTTTTTTTTTTTTTGGTGGTACTGACACTTGAACTCAGGGCCTCATGTTTGCTAGGCAGATGTTATACCACTTGCACCACTCCGCCAGCCCTACTTTAACTTTTTATATTCAGACCACAAAAAAAAAAAAAAAGTTAGAAACAGAGAGAGAGAGAAAGATGAAAGATAGACATGTGTAGGGGGAAGAGACCTGGATTTAAAATACAAGGTCAGTACTTCTCAAGAATTCCTAATCCAACCCATAGGTATCTAAGTTTGATCACCCTTTTTCACTTGCATTCTGTATATAAAAGCCTCAATTTATCTTAAAGAACTAGTTTCAGATATGTATCAAAATGTTCACTGAAAAATTACTTAATACATGTTAGTTATGAGACTTGAGGTATGGCTCAAGTGGTACAGCACCTGCCTCACAAGAGCAAAGCCCTGAGTTCAAACCTTAATACTAAAAAAAAAAAAAAAAAAAGTTAGCTAATATTTTTACTAAACATTCCAATAACAGAATGAGAATAATGAACAGAGGTTGGCAAATTTTTCCATTAAAACACAGACAGGAAATATTTGAGGCTTTGCAGATCATAGTCTGTATTACAAGTATTCAATTCTGCTGATGTAATAGCAAAAGCAGCCACAGGCAATATGAATAGATATGAGTGTGTTCAATAAAACTTTATTTACAAAAAATAAATGTAAGTCACGTATCAATCTCTGTTATAGAAAGTTTAATGTCATAAGAAATACTCATCACATTAAGTAAGAAAAAGTTACAAAACTAAGTACAGCAAAAGCCAATTTTTATAAATAAACACAGATACAAAGCATGCATACATAAACACAAAGGAAAAGGACAGGAATGGTAACAGTAGTTGTCATTAGACAGTGGGAAGTACAGTTAATTCTTACCCTCTTCATTATCATGGTCTATATTTTCCATGTTTTCTTCAATAAATATAAATGATTTTACAGCCAGATTATTACATTTCTTTTAACTTAAAATATCAGGAGGAAAACAAGGTTTGTTTTGTTTTGAAACAAGCTCTTGCTATGTAGCCCAGGTTGACCTAAAACTCTCAATCCTCCTGCCTCAGCCTCCAGAGTGCTGGAATTAAAGACATATGCCACCATGCCCACCTGAAAAAGTTTCTAAATCAGGAAAACCTGAGATATTTTAAGTAAAAAGAGTCTAAAACAGTATGCTCTTATTTATGTAAAAAAAAGGAGGACAGGAAAAGATTCCGCATGGGTATATGCCTATGTGTGTGAGGAATATTCTTAAAGGATCACACAAGAAAAGACTGGCATGCTGCCTTTGAGAAGTGGCTTAGGAGACTAGGGACAACAGGAGTGAGGGAGTCTTGCCTTATCATTCATTTTTGTATTTGTATTTTGTTCCATACCATGTTACCGCATTTCTTTTTTCTTTTTTTTTAATGTAATAAAGTTAACATGCTAGTTTAAATGTGAGAAGAAACAATGACTCACACGAAGGCAGAAGTAGCACTGGGGCTGGTCTGGACTGGCATGACATCAGCATAGGTCTCGTCCAGGGAGAGCAGTACATTGGCAGCTTGCTGGCCTGACTCTGCGACAGCCAGCAGACGGGGAAGGTCCCGATAGGCGTCTGGGCCAGCCAGGAGATCCACCACCTTCTCCCTGTTGAGAATCTCCTCCTTCAATCGCTCAGCCATGCAGCCTGGGAGGGAAAAGAAACAAATGCCTGTCCCCAGATTCATCTGGTTTTGTGGCTTCTCTTGGTATATATTATCTCTAGCTTCAATTAGAGTCAAGGGCACAGAAAACGTCTCTAAGAATTTGGTAACATTCTTCAAATTTAACCCATAGCACTAGAATTCACGCAACTCCCTATACAAGAAAACCACAGGAAAGGGTTCAAAGCAACAAAATTAAGTATCTATGAAAAAATAAACTATCACCCTAGACTTTTTCTCTTTTTCTTCTTTTTACAGTGCTGAGGATCAAACCTAAGACCACCTCCCACATTAGGCAAGCATTCTACCACCAAGATACATCTCCAGCTCCTCAAAGGCCCTTTGAAGACATGAGCACCTCTTCTCTCAAATGAATTTTTTGGGATTTTTCTGTTTTTTGGGCAGTACTAGGCTTTGAACTCAGGGTCTCATGCATGCTAGGCAGACACTCTACTACTTGAGCCACATCCCCAGCCCCCTCAAATGAAAATTACTCATCACTAAAATAAAAAGTATTTTGTTAGGAACTTGTAAATATAAAACTACACCTACAACCTTTTCTCCCTTTCTTTCAGCCCATAATACTTGCTAAAACCTACAGAAAATGAGCTAAACATTTATGCTAATATATTCTTTATTCTTTCTTTTTTGTTACTAATGTTTGAACTCAGGGCTTCATACTTGCTAGGAAAGTGTTCTATCACTTGAGTCACTCCACCAGCAGTCTTTTTTTTTTTTTTTTGGTGGGACTGAGGTTTGAACTTGGCTTCACATTTGCAAAGCAGGCTCTCTACCACTTGAGTCATACCTCTAGTCCACTTGGCTCTGATTATTTTGGACATGGGGTGCCATGAACTATTTGCCTGGGCAAGCCTCAAATAGTGATCCTCTCCAATCTCAGCTTCCCAAGAAATTAGCTAGGATTATAGGTGTGAACCTACTTTTTATAAACATCCTTTAAAAATACTTGTTTAAGAATTATTCTTGCTGAGCACGGTGGCATACTTAGGAGGCTAAGGCAGGAGGATTGTGAGTTCAAGGCCAGCCAGAGCTACAAAGTGAGACCCTGTCTCCAAAAAACAGAATAATTCTTGGCTGTGTACCCATGTTCACAGCAAGCAGCATTATTCACAACGGCCAAAAAGTAAAAGCAATCCAAGAGTCCATCTATGAACAGACATTCTACATGATGAACACACACAACGGAGTATTATTCAGCCTTTAAAAGGAAGAAAATTAGGGCTGAAGGTGTAGCTTAGTGGTAGAGCACTTGCCTCGCATGTGTGAGACTCTGGGTTTGAGTCCAAGCGCCATAAGAAAAAGAAGTAACTTCTGACACATAGTATAACATGTGGCACGTAAATCCTGAGGACAGGGTGCAAAGTGACATAAGCTAGTCACAGAAGGACAAATATTACATAACTCCACTTATAAGAGGGATAAGTATGCAGATTCATAAGCAGGGAGTAGAATAATGAACACCAGGAGCAGGGGAGGGAGGAATAGGAAGGTATTGTTATGGAGATGGATGGTGGGAACAGTTGCACAAATGAGAATACTTAATGCCATAGAACAGACACTTAAAAAATATCAAAATGATTATTTTATGTGTGTTTTACCACTATCATTTTTGCTTAAATTTATTCTTGGGATTTCTGAAATTCCCAGATTTATACCCAGAGACTTCTTTAATGAAGGAAGTGAAATGGAACAAAACATTTCAGCTAACTCTTCCATCCTCAGCATCTCTCACTACATTAATCAGTACAAGCAGACATGCTCCTACTGTGTGCTCACTCATCAAGAGGGATTAACTATTTCACATGGACACAGTCTGCTCTCCATAAAGTTTAACACTAAATTCTGTGCCAAACAGAGCACTTTTTTTTTCTTCATATGTGCATACAAGGCTTGGGTCATTTCTCCCCCCTGCCCCCACCCCCTCCCTTACCACCCACTCCGCCCCCTCCCTCTCCCCCCCCAATACCCAGCAGAAACTATTTTGCCCTTATTTCTAATTTTGTTGTAGAGAGAATATAAGCAATAATAGGAAGGAACAAGGGTTTTTGCTGGTTGAGATAAGGATAGCTATACAGGGAGTTGACTCACATTAATTTCCTGTGCGTGTGTGTTACCTTCTAGGTTAATTCTTTTTGATCTCACCTTTTCTCTAGTTCCTGGTCCCCTTTTCCTATTGGCCTCAGTTGCTTTTAAGGTATTTGCTTTAGTTTCTCTGCGTTAAGGGCAACAAATGCTAACTAATTTTTTAGGTGTCTTACCAGAGCACTTATTTTTATTTATTTTTAAATTTTTATTTTATTCATATGTGCATACAATGTTTAGGTCATTTCTCCCCCCTTCCCCCACACCCTCCCTTACCTTCCCGCCCCCTCCCTCTCCCCCTTACCCCCTCGATACCCGGCAGAAACTATTCTTTCTTATCTCTAATTTTGTTGAAGAGAGAATATAAGCAGTAATAGGAAGGACCAAGGGTTTTTGCTAGTTGAAATAGGATAGCTATACAGGGAGTTGACTCACATTGATTTCCTGTACATGTGTGTTACCTTCTAAGTTAATTCTTCTCAAACTAACCTTTTCAGAGCACTTATTTTTATTTATTTTTGGAGGTACTGGACCTCACACTTGCTAGGCAGACACTGCACCACTTGAGCCTCTCAGCCAGCCTACCAGAGCACTTATTTCTTAAATATACTTCCCAGCCACCTAGATCAGAACTGTCCAACAGAACTTTCTAATAAGATGAAGGAATGTGCTGGACAGAAATGACTGGATGTGCTGTCCCAACTGTGGCCCCTAGTCATATGTGACTACTGAGCAGTTGAAATGTGCCTAATGTAAAACAGACTTGTTTTTTAATTTTTTTGTGTGGTACTAAAAAAAGTACCACAAAAAAGTATGAACTCAGGGCCTACACCTTGAGCCACTCTACCAGCCTTTTTTTGTGATGGGTTTTTTTAAGATAGCACCTTGAGAACTATTTTCCTGGGCTGGCTTTGAACCATGATCCTCCTGATCTCTGCCTCCTGTAGCTAGGATTACAGGCGAGAGTCACCAGCACCCAGTTCAAAACAGACTTTTTAATTTTATTTTTTATTTTGATTGTGGCTAATGGCTACTGTATTAGTTCATGCAGACCTCAGCTGTCCACTTGGGCATGCTTCAAGAGCTTAGATCATGAGTTTACTACACTGTAAACTCATGCTGCCCCTTCACACTCCAAAGTCTATGCTACCCATCACTCTGTGCAATCAGGAGATGCATCAGACTCCAGAGAGAATATACCACTTTGTGAGCATCTTTTACTTCTAACTACTACAACAAGCCCTTTCAGGAGCTTGATGTCATTTTATCTTGAAGCCTCTAATATAAGTACAAGAGCAGCATGAGGTGCATAAAATTTCTTCTTACTCTGGGATCCTAGCCAGTAAAGGCAGCTCTAACATATAAAGTCCCAGTGGAAGCCAAGTCTCAAAACAGACAAAATCTGCAAATTACCGGATACCTAGAATCCCAATCCTCAGAGGCACCCGGGAGCGGGGCCGCTTTGCCTTCAGAACTTTAAGCTGACGTAAACGGTTCCAGATTGTCTGCTCAGCCTTCTCTCTGAAAAGATCAAAAGAGACAAAAGTGATCCAAAAATAAACTACAGAACAATCAAGAGAGTAGGACAATGGAAAAAAAGTAAAAAACACCTGCACCCTTGAATGACATCTACTTTTAGACTCAGGGAAGGTATAGGGGCCAACTGAAGAAGCACCACTTGTTCAAATGGTACCCTTCCTGCACATCTCCAAATCCTGAGGAGTTTTGAGCTTTAACCCAAACTCAAAACCAATCTACTTGGCAGAACCTTCTTCAACTCTCCTCTGTGAGAGTTCTTCCTTCCTTAATTGCTATCTTTTATCTAGACTTTTCTTATATTTAGCAACTTGTCTTTATTGTTTGATTCTTTTTTTGAAAGGGGGTTTGAACTCAGGGCTTCACACTTGCTAGGTGGGCACTCTACCACTTAAGCCATGCCTCCAATCCTGATTTTTTACCTAAGATTTTCTGTCAGATGGCAGAGCCGTTTGTACATTTACTCCCCATGTTAGACCAAGCTGAATGGAGGAAAGGTTCATTTCGGAATCTCCCAAAATACCCAGCTCAGTGTCATGCGGCAAAGGCCTCAGAACAAAAATGTGAGGTTAGTGCATGAGCTGGTGGTAGAGCCAGCTGTGGAAGCATTAGCACTAGCATGCCTTGTACACAGAAACAAAGTAAGAAAGTGGGTATGCTCACTTCTCATGAACTTCCTGTGGCCAAGTGTTTTCTGGCCATCTCTGACAGATGCCACCCATGTCTGTTCAGAACTCACTCGCCCAGTCACTGACTGCACCCACCCCAAGCAGTTATATCATAAACATATGCCATTAGTAGCAAGAAAAACCTCAGAAAAAGTTGGATGACTCAGTGCACTTTTAATACATAGACCCTATAAAATGGGTTTGAGAACCATTACAGCAGTTAAATTCATTCCCACATATATAGTGCTACACACAGTCATGCTCAGCAGATGTCAGTCAGTTATAGCAAGACTATTTCTTTTTTTAAGCATCATTAGGATTTGAACTCAGGACCTCATGCTTGCTAGGCAGGCACGTATGGAGCGGACCATTCTGCCAGCCCTTTTTGTGGTGGGTAGTTTCAAGATACGGTCTCAAGAACTATTTGCCTGGGCTGGCCTCAAACCTCAATCCTTCTGATCTCTGCCTCTTAAGTAGCTAGGATTATAGGCATGAGCCACCGACACCTGCTCAAAACTATTTCTACTTCGGGAAAACTGCAAGTCCTATGACATAGGGCCACAGGCTTGTATCAACAGGTAAGGCATCAGGGCACTGTGGTCTTGACTACATAAGATATATTCAGTCTCTAAGGAAAGAACAAATTTGTACCTGATAGAACATGTGACAAGAAGGATCACATCAGCCTGAATGGAGAGCAAGGAAAAAAAGGAAAATTATTACCTTTGAAATTAGCTTTGTAGAATCACTACCTTGCAGCCCCCACCTTTTCTTAATTATTGTGGTAAAATACATGTAACATAAAATTTGTCATTTTAACCATTTTTAAGTATATAGTTCTGTGACACTAAGAACATTCACATTGTGTAATCATAACCACTGTCTCCCTCCAGAACTATCTCATATTCCCCAATTAAAACTGAACCCGTTTCAATAAAATTAGAGATAAGGGCAGAATAGTTTCTGCCTGGTAGCGAGAGGTAAGGGGGTGTAAGGGAGGGGGTGGGGGGAAGGGGGGAGAAATGACCCAAACATTGTATGCACATATGAATAAAATAAAAATTTAAAAAAAAAAAAAAACTGAACCCATTATACATTAACTCTCCACTCCCCAGCTCTCCTTCCTACAACCTTTTTTATTATTGTTGCTGTTGAAATAGGGACTTGCTATATAGCCCAGGCTGGCATCAAAATCTCAATCCTCCTGCCTCAATCTCTTGAATGCTGGAATTACAGCTGCATCACCAAGCCCAGTCCACAGCCAATTTTCAATTTAGCTCCTTGCCTGAAGGTAAGCATCACTACAAAAGTTTCAAAAATAGCTGGAACAAATATATACCTCAATCGTTTGATACACTTCACTCAAGGGAACTTTTTTGGCTGGCTGTGCCTTATTCCTGAAACTGCATCTAAGAACCTGTAGAAAAGCAGTCTCGCCCAGGCCCAGAAAACACATATACCTCTTGTAGGCTGCTGGTCCTCAGGTAGCCACTCTTCTGTAAGATGGACCAGGCTATCTCTGTATCATTCACATTCATCTGGCAGCCATAGGTCTCAAGGTAGACTGAAACGAGAGGCAAATTCCAGGACAGGCAAACAAGGGGCCACATGTATCAAAGGGTCTCCTTCCCAAAAGCACCAGAAACACCTGAAACAACTGATTATCCCTCAAGAGGCTGCCCATGAGCTCCTGTTCCTCCTGACCTAACTGGGGGTGACTGGAGATGCAGAAACGACAAACGATAGAAGACGACGCTGGGGTCAGGTGTGCTGGGCGCTCAGATAGAGATGCACAACAGCCTCGTTGCTTCTTTTCTCTTATTATTTAAGGCTTTACTTTTAAAGTCTTTCTTTACAACCTTGCTTCTTTTCTATTCTTTAAAGTCTCTTTCCTTAGTCTCACTCTGTCCCGTGTTTTCTTTAATCTCTCTTAAAATCTTGGCCCTCAGACTTGCACTGTCCCATGTTTCCTCTAATCTCTAGCATAACTCAGCAGCAGCAGCAGCATTCTGCCACAGTCCCCTCACAAGCCGTCAACCAATCAATCCATCCCCCATCAAAAAAAACCCCCGCGTCCTCCTTCAGAGAGTCTTTTATATCCAGTGGTAAACAAGGAGGTGGAGCAACAGTTCTCAGGGAGGGGTGTGACATTTTAACAAGAGAAACCGTATTCCTACTTCTCTGAACATAAACAACTTAGGAAAAGCAGCTGTGCTGCATTTTGCCTTCACTCTCTTCTGCAGCTGCCAAACTCAGCCTGTAGATCATTGAGCACAACTGTGCTTAGGACAAGTTCTTGTAGGTGTCTCATAATCCACTCCCCCCAGTTACTACCAACTCCCTGTTGCCTCAACCTTAAAACACCATTAATTGCCAGATGTACCCCAACTTAATGGCAGCCTTTCAGAACAAAAGAACTACTCTATTATGTACAAATACATATAAAAGACAGGGGAGAGGAAAGGGAGGATGAGAGAGAAACATGGAGGGGGTGAATCTAATTAAGATACATTATTAGCACATATGTAAATATCAGAATATATCACCATGTGCAACTATTATACACTAATAAAAAATATAAATAAAATAAAATACAGGGAAAAACATGCACCTGAGAAAAAAGAAAATATGAGGATAAAAACAACTAGAAAACGAAGAACTATTGACTAGTTATAGTGTTTATCCATCTAAGGAGAAGCAAATTTACACCCCCATGTTATCCTCTTCCTCAAAATGGAGAGGTTCTTGAGACTCTGGAAGCAGTAGTAGTGGCCAGAGCATACAAAAAAAAGAGTTGGAAGCTGATGGCTCACACCTGTAATCCTAGCTACTTGGGAGGCAGAGATCAAGAGGATCTCGGTTTGAAGCCAGCCCAGGCAAATAGTTCATGACACCCTATCTTAAAAAACTCACCACAAAAAACAATGGCTGGCGAAGGGCATGGTTCAAGGTGTAGGCCCTGAATTCAAACCCCAGTACCACAAAAAAAAAAAAAAAAAAAAATCACAAAATTAAAAATAAAGTATCATCCTACATATCTTTAAACTTTTTTTTTCCAGTATTGGGTTTTGAACCCAGGGCTTCATGCTTGCTAGGCAGATGCTCTACCGCCTGAGCCATGCCTCCAGCCCTTCTTAAATGAAAGTAAGCATAGCTATGTTATAAAGTAAAATTCAAATTTTGCAGTTTTAAAAATATGAATTTTACACTCTGGCAGGTCCTTTTATGCTATATGCCTAATTCCATCCCTGTCCCTACCTGCAGCTCTAATCCCAGACTCACATAAATTCAAGTGGAGAGAAGAAAGAAAGAAATCTTCTTTTTTAAAATCTTCTTAGGTTCACTTTTCCTCTATAAAAAATTAAAATACTACCATGGTGTACGATGGTTAAAAAAAGAGAAGAAAAATGAAAATATAAATGCTTATGTCATAGAGGGACTGGGGGAGAAAAAAACAAATTATAAAGGACAACAAAATAACAGGCAAGATTTATATGATGTACACATTTCTTGATTTACCAACTCAACTCTGAGAAATTTTATTCTGGAAAAACAGTAACAGAAGCAATATATATGAAGATACTTATTACAGTAGTATTTATAATGTTAAAATGTTTTAAGTGACCTAACATACAACCATAAGAGAATAGTTGAAAAGCATCATGTTGATAGTACTATGTGATATTTTGTACCAATTCTCAAAAATTAAATAAATGTCAAGATTATAATGTTTAAAAAATGTTAAATAAAAGTAGCAAGTTACAAATAATATGCACCATATGATCACAACCGTATCTTTAAGAATTATGAAGGGAAGGGCTGGAGGCATGACTCAAGTGGCAGAGTGCCTTCCTAGCAAGTGCAAGGCTCTAAGTTCAAACCCCAGTATCACCACAAAAAAAAAAGAATTACGAAAGGAAGCGCTTGTCCGATATGCACAAGGCCCTGGGTCCTATCTGCAGCACCACAAATAAATCAACAAGTGTGCATGCATGAAGCCCTGGCTTCAACCCCCAGCACTGAAAAACAATTTGTGAAGGAGAATATTTTTTGGAAACAGTAAGAAGAGAAGCCCTTTAGTGTCTCTTTGAACCTTTTCAAGTTATTTTAACTGATTATGTAGTGGCTCTAAGAAAGCTTCTGCTCAAATATAAAGAACAAATTTCTGCAGTACCAATTGCTACTGAAAGCAGCTTTATAACCTAAGACCATCTAAAAATCAGAATAGGCACATGGCTCGTGCACACCTATAATCCCAACACTTGAGAGGTTGAGACAGGAGGATCAAGAGTTAGAGGCCAACATACTTCTATTTGTACCACATTTAATGAGGTACAATGTGGCTTTTTATTACTACATACATTGGGAGACGTGTCTTGCTTTTTGATCCACTCTGATAATCTGTCTTTTGGTGCATTTAGACCACTGACATTTAAAATGATTCTTGATATAAGTGGGTTAATAGGCTAACATAGTCATAACTATTTTCTACTCATTGCTCTTGTTCTTTGTTCCTATTTTTGTCTCCTACTATTTTTCTGTCTTTTGTGAGCTTAAGTGAGAATTTTATAGCTTTCCATTTTCTCTCCTTAGTATATAAGTTTTTTTTAAACTTTTGTGAGCATATTTTTGTGCAAACGTTTCTGGCTGCTGAAAAATTTCTTATAAACTAGGGGTTACATAATGGTATTGTAATTTCCTATCTTCCAATCTCTTCAGTTTCAAGTTCTATCTCTTCTCTGAGACCAGTCTCTCTCTTTCTCTCTCAGTGTGAGTGTGTGTGTGTGTGTCTCCCATTCCCATTACTTCTTTATTCATGCAGAAGCTACAATCTTACTGAAAATAAACTTTAGCTTTTATGTCAAAAAAAAAAAAAGAGTTAGAGGCCAGCCTGGGCTACATAACAAGACCCCATCTCAAAAAAGGTGGGAGCAGAGTGCCTGTCTACCAAACACAAGGCCCTAAGTTCAAAACAAAAAATGAATGAATTAATTAAAAGATTACATGCCAATATTATGAGTTTCTCCTCACCCCCCACAGCTAGGGACTGAATTCAGGGCCTCACACATGCTAAGCAAGCACTTTACCACTGAGCTACATCCAGTGCCAGCCCTATGAGTTTCTTTCTATTAATGTTACTTGGTGGAGTTTGATGATTTTATAACTAAACAACCTTCCCACACTATTAGCCTTCCAAAGCCAGGTATGTAATAAGAAAACAGATAAAGAATCAGGCCACAGATGCTGAAAAGGAGAGAGGCAGAAAGCTAAAAGGGGAAAGAGAAGTGAAACCAACCTTTTCTCTGCCTTCCTAAAAGCTCATCCACAGTGAGATAGGGAGGTGGGTCCTCCACTTCTGGACAAGATGGCTTCTTGTGAATAACTGAAGCACTTCTTAAAAAATGCTGAAAAGTCGGTCCAGTAGCCAGCCTGGAGCTGAAATCCTTCTGAACTCCATCCTTCTGCTTCTCTGCACCAGGACTTGCAGTGCTAGGGAGACTACTATGTGTCCTGCAGGTCCTGAGCAGCAGCCAGGACAAGGAGACCAATGGTCCCTGCTTGAGAGTCCTCTGTACTTGAAGGACACATTGAAAAGGATGCATGGCACTTCGAAGTCTGTAAAAGAATGAGAGCTATCACCAGCTATTTATTGAACACTGTGTCCAAGTACTGCTCTGAGCACTTCAAGTATATTAATTTATTTATTACTCACAAAAGCACATGAAGAAGGTAGTCTTAATATTACCTCAAAGCTGGGCTTGGTGGCACACCAAGCCTCAGGAGGCTGAGGCAGGAAGATTGCAAGTTTGAAGCCAGCTGGGTTACAAAGTGAGACTCTACCTCAAAAAATACTACTATTACTAACAATAATAACATCTCAAGCATAGTATTATGCACCTGCTGCCCCAGCTACTCAGGAGGCTGAGTAGGGTCAAGAGGATCACTAGAACCCAGGAATTCCAGGCCAGCCTGGGTAACATTCTTATTATCATTATTATATCCCTATTTTATAGCTGAAAAAAAACCAAGGCAACTGCCCAAGAGCAAGGAAGAGCACCAGAAACAAGATAAAAATTCAGAAAATCTGTTTTCAAAACAAAGGAATGACAGAGATGAAATGGGAAGCCCTGGCAAAATAACAAAATAGCGTCTTGAGTCAGAAATAGTTCCAAGGAATTTAAGTCTATTAACTGATTAAATCTTCACAGCAATCCTCTGTGATCCAGGCAACAGGCATTATTACTACCCACATTCAGAGATGAAGTAGACACAGGCTAAAGGACTGTATGCAGAAGACCCAGAACTAAATGAAAGTCAGGATGACTGCAAAACCTGCGCCCACAGTCACCTTGCTACATCCACTGCCTTTTTTTTTTTTTTTTTGGTGGGACTTGGGTTTGAACTCAGGGATTCACACTTGCAAAGCAGGTGCTTTACCACTTGAGCCACTCCACCTCTTTTTATGTTGGGCATTTTCAGAATAGGGTCTCTCAAACTATTTGCCCTGGCTGGCCTCAAACTGCGATCCTCCTGATCTCTGCCTCCCAAGTAGCTAGGATTACAGGTGTGAGCCACCAGCACCTGGCTATGCTCTGCCTCTTGCTAACTTGTCTGAAAACATCTTCCTTTCCTTTCAGTCCCTTCAAAAAGAAAGTAGCTGATGTGGGACACTGGATGCCTGCCTGATCAGTGACTTCTTCCATTATTAAGGTAACAAGAGTAATGTTGATATGAACCGCGCATCACAGCCACACCTCTTTTCGTGAGGGAATTAAGAGCATCATGGTTTATGGACCTTAAAATCAGAATGTGACCCCACTGCTGCCTAGCCAGGTAACCCTGGGTGTCTTATCTTAAAACCCTGGGAGCCTCTATTTCTGCACGTGTGAAATGGGGCTAGCGGCACCTACCTCTGTAAATCTGGTGTGAGCGATGATACAAGTAAAATGCTTTGCATGACACAATGCAGGAGCCTGGGGAGGGGGGGGGTCTCAAATTAATTTCGGCAGTCGACAATGATGATGGGACAACCTACAGCATCCCACGCGCTTTACTGGGTTGTTACAACAGGCGTTAGGCGTGGTGAAAAGCGCTTTCCAAGGAGTGCCGCACCTAATCCTCACAACAACCATGAGGCAGGTTCTACTTCCCCCTACCTCAGGTGAACAAAAAAGGGCTCAGAGGAAGGGGGTGACTTGTTCAAGGTCACAGAGGAGCAGGCAGCAGGGCTGGGGTAGGAACCCCGACAGTCTGATTCCAGGCCCCACGCCGCAACCACAGTGACATCTTCCCATTGAGCCCGTTCAGGACGCCGCGAGCCCTCCTGCCCAGCACCAGCCACCCGCAGGAACCCAGGACGGCCGGATCACCAGCGCCGCGGCTCACCTCCCAGACCACGGCGTCCAGGGGGCAACACCGGAAGTTCAGCCAGCCGGCCTGGGCCTCCTCTCAGCTGTCCGCCGCTGCATGCGCACGCCTGCAACTTCCGTTCCGCCACGACTTCCGTCAGAAACGGCCCAACGGAAGTACTTCCTCTAAACGATCCGGGTGACCCCAGGCTGCTTACTGGCTTAGAAATATCCACTGAACAATGCAGTACCCACTAGCCAGTAAGGGGCAATTGAGCTCTTGAAAGGCGGTGAGAGGCCGGACGTGGTAATGCACGTTGTAATCCTGCCCCTCTGGAGGCTGCCGGAGGAGGAGCACGTGTTCTAGCCCTGGCTGTCCTCGAACTCAGTGCTCCTCCTGCGTCAGCCTCCCAAATACTAGGATTACAGATAGGGACCACCACGCCCAGCTTCTGGGCAACATTTTGAAGCTTTCTTTCAAAGCAAAAAGGTGGTGATGAGTACAAATTAATTGTGCCCCAAGTTGGTCTAGGGGTATAGCTGAGTAGTAGAGCTCTTCTTGCCTACCTATAGTGAGGCCCTGGGTTTGGTCCCCAACACCACACACACACACACACACAAGTGCCCTAAATGTAACGTATACACAGGCTGTCCAAGGGGGAAAAAAAAGTGTAAAGTAGCTCTCAATAATTTTTATATTGATTATGTTTTGAAATAATAGTTGAGACATAGTGGAATGTACTAAATAGATATATTATTTGAATTCCATCTGTTTCCTTTTACTTTTTAATGTAACTACTAGGACATCTTAAATCACATCCCTGGCTCATATCCTATTTCTATGGGAGGGCCCTGTTGTGTAGGCTGATTGTTACCAAGTCCTTACTGCTCACTGCTCAACCAAAAACCTAGGAGACTGAAGTTGGTGGAAGGAGATAGGTTTATTCAAAGCCCATCCTGAAAAAGACAGAGGAGACTCTCCATCTCATATCTCCGTATCTTAGATGGGTTTAGGGTGCAAAGAGCTTTTATGGGGGACAAAGGGGGAATCCACAAAAACAGTGGGTCAGAAGTCCATGCACTGGGCAGGGTCTTGTCAGTTAAAGATGTGTCTTCTTTCTTATCCTCTAGGGGGAACCTCACAATGGACTTTTATCTCCTGCAGCTAATTAACTAGAACCTGAGCAAGGGCTTCTCTTCAGCAAAAAAAAAAAAAAAAAATACTAGGAAGGGGCAGAAGACAAAAAGAAGAAAGAGGGAGCAAGGGAGCCCCAGTTACATAATGACTTTCCAGTGCATTTCTGCACATACACTGTCCTAGAGTTCTAGACCAATAGCCCAGCTGCCTGTTTGGCACCTCCCATTAATGTGTGACAACCATCTCTAACATCTTCATTTCCAAACCTATTCCTTCCAGCCTGACCCATCCCAGCAAATCAACCAACCTTGCAGAAGAAACTGAAGTGTCATTTTGTCTCCTCTCCTTCAATTTCCACATTCAATTTGTCAGCAGTCCTGTGAGCTCTAACTCCAATATATCTCACACTTGTCCACTTCCCATGCTCTGCTGCCACAGTTCTAAGCCCAAAAGACACCATCTCATCAGAAACCATCACAGTCCCCTGCTAACCAATCTCTTGCTTCTGCCCTTGCCCTTGTCTCCCAGTACTATTTCCTACATAGAGCCTAAAGGGGTTTGTTTGTCTGTTTTAATTAAATCAAGTCATGTCACTCCCCTGATGAAAACTTTCATTTGCATCCTTGCAATAAAATCCAAACTTCCCTTTTTTGACAATGCTAGGGCTTGAACTCCAGGCTTCCCACTTGATAGGCAAGTGCTCTACCTTTTGAGCCTCCAGCCTGAAATCCAGACTTTCTTCTGCTTCCTGGAGCCTGCAACATCTGACCCCTACTTACTCTCACATCTCCAACTCATTTCCTTTTTACTATTTACTTTTCTTTACTATATGTTGACTATACGTAAACTACATAAATTTACTTTGCTCCTTCAATAATCCACACACATGTTAAAGCCTTTGTACTTACTAACATTCCGGAATGCTCTTCCCTCAAGCTGTTCCATGACTACCCCCTTTACATCATTTAGGTCTCAACTTAGATATCTTTTCCTTTTTTTTTTTTTTTTGCAGTACTGGGGTTTGAACTCAGGGCTTTACACTTGCTAGGCTACTACTTGAGCCACTGTACCAGCCCCTTTTGTGTTGAGTATTTTCAAGATAGGGTCGCTCCAACTATTTGCCCTGGCTGGCCTCGAACTTTGATCTTCCTGCTCTCTGCCTCCCAAGTAGCTATGATTACAGACGTGAGTCTCCAGCACCTGGCTGAAATATCAACTTTTCAAAAAGGCTCTTACACCCTATGTAACTACTTCCATCATTGATGACATCATTTTCTTCACAATCTTTATCACTATCCAAAACTTTGGCATTACTTCATTTGCCATTGTCTGCTCCCCATTCTGTCAGCTTGCTGAATGAGGGACTCATTGTATCTTGTTCACTGCTATATTCCCACCATCTACACAGGGACACAGGGTTTGATTCATAGAAGGGCTTAACAAATATTCCATGAAGGAATACATGATTGATTTCTGCCTTAGTCTGGGACCCAGAAGCAGACCCTGAGACAGGAATCTGAGTGCAGGGAGCTGATTTGGAAGGTGGTTTCAGGAAATGTGGGGAGGGTAGTGGAGGCTGAGATAGGAGAGTCACCTAATAAATACTGTTATGAAGCAAGTTCCTTGTGAGCATCTGAGTCTTCATCCTTCTGGGGAACTCTGGGAAACAGAGTTGAACATTATGATAGTTAATTTTATGTATGTCAGCTTGACTGGGCCACAGGATGCCCAGATACCTGGTGACATGTTATTTCTGGTTGTATCTGTGGAGGTGTTTCTGAGAATTTTTATTTTGCAGTGCTGTGGATCAAACCCACAGCCTTATGCATTTCAGGCAAGTACTCCACCACTGAGCTACATGCCCAGCCCACGTGAAGGTATTTCTGAAGGAAGAGATTTGTATTTGAATTGGTGGCTGAGTAAAGCACATTGCTCTCCCCAACATAGGTGGTCATCAATCCCACCTCTTCAGGGCCCAGGTAGAATAAAAAGGCAGAGAATTCCTTTTCTGCCTCACTGCTGGAACTGAGACATCCATCTTCTGCCCTTGAGCTGGTACTTATATCTTGGTGTTCCTGGTTCTCAGTCCTTCCTATTTGGACAGGAATTTGTAACATTGGCTTTCTTGGGTGTCCATTACAGATGGCAAATTGTGGGACTTAGCGTCCATAACCATGAGAGCCAATTCTTCATAAAATATCATTCTAGAGCTGCAAGTCTAGCTCAAGTAGTAGAGTGCCTGCCTAGCAAATGCAAGACCCTGAACTCAAACTCCAGTATTGCCAAATAATAATAATAATTTTCTAGATATAGATATTAAATACTATTATGGTCTGAATGTTTGTGTCCCCCCTCAAATCCACACGTTGAAATCCCAACCTCCAAGGTAATGGTATTAGAAGGTAGAGACTTTGGAAGGTGATTTGGTTATAAGGGTACAGCCCTTATAAGTGGGATTAGTGCCCCTATAATTAGTAGTCTTTAAAAGTGACTCCAGAGAGACATCTCACCCCTTCTATCATGTGAAGACTTGGCAAGAAGTCCCCACGTATGAGCCAGAAGCAGGCCATCAGCAGATACTTAAACTGCTGGCCAGATAATTTTGAACTTTTCAGCTTCCAGAACTGGCAAAATCAATTTTTGTTATTTATAAGCTACTAAGTTTGTGGCTTTTTAAATTTTAGGTGCTATGAGTTGAACCCAGGGCCTTTCCTATGCTAAGCATATGCTCTACCACTGAGCTACACCCTAAAACTTTCTCTTTTTTTAACTTTCTCTATTTTGAGACAAAGTCTCTTCATGTTGTCTAGGCTGCCCTTGAACTCCTGGTGAGCAATCTTCCTGTCTCAGCCTCCAGAGTAGCTAGGACTATAGGTACATGCCACCGTGCCTAGCAGTTTATGGCATTTTTGTAACAAAGCCCGAACAGACTTACATTGAGAGATAGAGATATGTAGATATAAACTATTGTTTCTGTTTCTCTGGAGCACCCTAACACACACATACCTCAGAATTATTTTGCCCAAGGGAAGAGGGAGCTGGGATAGTTGTGTATCAACGGTCACTGATTGAAGGATGCTCCTAGGCATATAATTCCTCAGCACCCCCTCTGCCTGTGTGGGGAGGTCGTTAGCAATAAGATACAGACATGGCCCCAACACTAAACTAGTAAGCCACTGGGGACCCTAACAGCCCTTGACACCTCATTAAAACCCTATTAGGTTAGTATTAGCTCATTTTACAGAAAAGAAAACTGAGAATACAAAAAGTAATCACATCCTGAAGCTCACACAACTAGTGTGTGGCAGAACTGTGTGATGCATGCAATCACTCACGGGTCAGTCTGATCCCGAAGACTTATTCTTACCAACCACTGAGTGACTAATTCAACTTCAGACTGGCTGGGTTCCACCGAGGCTCTGTTGCTTACAGTTGGGTAACCATGGTCAACTAGTCACTGCTGAATCACAATGTCTTGGCTACAAAGTGACTGCTGTGATAGGAATACACTGCTGAGACAAACCAGGAGAGTACTGGGACTGTGCCAGCTGTCCAGAAAGAGACCAGGGTTCCTGGAGCAGTGTGGTGTCTTAGGCAATGAATGTGATGAAAACCAACCCCTCAGGTTCCATCCTGTCTTGGGACCTTTCACCAATATGCTCAGCCTGGGATGCTCCTCATCCTTCCCCCTTCTACCTGTCTCCCACTGCTTTGTGAGGGTTCTAATTGGTACTGAGCAATGATTCACTCCCCTTCTACTCCGAGAATAGAGCATATGTTCCTTCCCACTGATGTCCGGCTGATGATCTGAATATACCTGTGTGATTTGCTTTTCTTTGCACTGGGAAGAGCAGGTTCTGGGAGCTGGTGCCCCTTCATTCCTGGCTCCAGAAGGGACACGGAACAGATCTAAGTCAACCCACAGCCTAGAGCAAAACTCCCCGGGCCAGCCCAGCCCTGCCCAGCCCAGTGTAGCCAAACTGCAGTCCGCATGCAGCCCAGGAACTAAAGATAAGTGCTAGTTGCTGTAGTCACTGGGATTAGGCTGAGTTTTTTTGTTTTGTTTTGTTTTTGTTTTTGTTTCTTGCATTATTGCAAGAGTAACAGATTAAAGCACCCTTCTTCAAAGGGACATCTGCTTCAGTGTCTCCTCCTGAGAGAAGCTTTCCCCTAACCCCCCAAGCAAGTTAGGTCCCACTGGCCTCTCTGCTGTCTCCAAGCATTATCACTTTTTTAGTGTTTTGTTTTGTTTTGCTTTGGTGGGACTGGGGTTTGAACTCAGGGCTTTGCACTTGCAAAGCAGGCACTCTACCACTTGTGCTGCACCTCCAGTCCATTTTGCTCTGGTTATTTTGGAGATGAGAATCTTACAAACTATTTGCCTGGGTTGGCTTCGAACCTCAACCCTCCCAATCTCAGCCTCCAAAGTTGCTAGGATTACAGGTGTGAACCACACGGCACCCACCTTTGGAATCACACTTTTGATTGTGGGAGCTTCTGATTATGAGGACCCATCAGTGTTGCTCTCGGGTGCATCACTCCTGGCCTGAGGTCTAGCACAGAGCAGGTGTACACTAGATATTTCTCAGATAGACAGTGCATTGACAGATGGATGGAAAGACAGATGACCAAGGCTGGAATGTCTCTGCTTACCTGCATCTCTCCATTTTCTAGTACCAAGTTTCTCAAGCCAGTTCAGTTGTTAAGTGACTGCATGTGCCAGTTTCCCACGTGGAGGCCATATTAGAACTGCTCAGACCAGTGCAAGAGCCATTAGCCACATGTGGCTACTGCATACCTCGTATGCAGCTAATATGAATGAGGGACTGTCTCATTTAATTTTAATTTATATTTCAAATCTGATACAATTTGATACAAATGTTATAAAAATCTAAATACAAATCATTTCCCATGAAAATTTGGCATCTCAGTAGAGATGTGCTGTGAATGTAAAATACACACACCTGGATTTCAAAAACTAAGTTCGAAAAAAGGAATGTTCAACATCTCATTGGTAAAATTTTATACTCTATTTTGAAGTGATAATATTGTAGATATATTGGGTTAAAGAAAATATATTAGGGGTTGGCAGAGTGGCTCAAGAGGTAAGAGCACCTGCCTAGCAAGTGTGAGGCCTTAATACCGCCAAAAAAAAAAAAAAAGAGGAAAACATATTAAAAATATTTTCACTGGGCGCCAGTGGCTCATTCCTGTTATCCTAGCTACTCAGGAGGTAGCGACCAGGAGGATCATAGTTCAAAGCCAGCCCAGGCAAATAGTTTGCAAGACCCTATCTCGATAAAAAAGGACTGGTGGGGTGACTCGAAGTGTAGGCCAAGTTCAAATCCCATTAATACAAAAAATATACATTTTTTTTTTCGGGTGGGCACCAGTGGCTCACACCTGCAATCCTAACTACCTGGGAGGCTGAGATCAAGAGGACCACAGTTTGAGGCAAGCCCATCTCCAAAATTACCAGAACAAAATGCACTGGTAGTGTGGCTGAAGTGGTAGAGCTCCTGCTTTGCAAGCATAAAGCCCTGAGTCAAACCCCAGTCCCACCAAAAAAAAAAAGAATCCTTTCCCTAAGAGATGGCATCAAATTTCTCTCTCCTGGAGAGAAGAATGGACTTACTGACTCAATTTTACTGCAGAAGTGCCGTGGGTCACTAGAGGCTCTGTTGATTCCTCCTTGCTCTCTCCTGTGGCCCTCACTCTGGGGGGAAGCAAGCTGTCACATTATGGGAACACTTGAGTAGTTCTATGGTCTGGCCCATGTATTGAGGGCTGAGCCCTCCTGCCAACAGCCATGTGCCTGAGCAGTTTAGAAAGCGGGAGGACCCTCCCGCCCCAGCCCAGCCTTCAGAGGACTGCAGCCCCAGCCAACATTTGTGCAACTTTGTGAAAGACCTGCGACAAGAACAACACAGCTTAACCCCGGTCAGTTACTGACCCACATAAAGACATAGTGTTGTTTTAAGCTGCTAAATTGTAGGGTAATTTGTCACATAACATACACAAACAATACACTCTCTTTGGGGCCCAGTTAAAGGTCTGCCCTTCTCCTGGGAGAGGGTCCACCACAGGGCCCAAAGGACAAGACATAAACCACAGACACTGGGCTGGGCCACCTATGCACTCAAAGGCTATTTATTATCCAAAAGGAGGAGAGAGGATGAAGAGAAAAACCAGATGTCCCACGGTGGTGGAGCTGAAGGGAAAAGTGAGCAGCAAGTCTTCTCCTCTTTCTCTTGCCTCTGACCCAGGGGACTCCAGGTTCAGATGGGGCCTCTGGGGTGGCTTAGGGGCCTCTAGGAGGCCTGGCAGCTCAGCTCTGGGGTCAGGGTCCCCACAGGGGCAGGTCCCAGGCTCGGAATGGCTTCTGTGTACACAAAATATCACTCTGCAAAAGGCACTGATGGAGACGGGCAGCAGAAGGCTGCCCCATCACAGACAGGTCCACTGTGTCCTGGGTCTGGGTCCCGGCCTCCCTCAGGGGCTGGGTCTGAGGCCCTTGTTCCTCTCCTTTCCCTCAGCCCAGCAGTGAACAGGCAGTGGGCAGAGGGCCAGGTCAGGCCAGGTAGTGGATGCCCTCTCTTCAGGGCTAGTGCATCTGTCAGCTTCTAGGCCAAGAGCCCCAGACGGGTGACTTTGGCTGAGAGGAAGGAGTGGATGATGAAGACCATGGTTTTGGGACACGAGTGCAGGTCCAACTGCTGTAGGGTGGATGGAGAGAAGAATCAGGGGCCCTGTCCAGCCCAGCCTCCAGGAGAAAGTCCCCCCCGCCCCCAGAGTACAGAGGCAGCCCTCCACTTACAATCTCGCCTTCAGCACCCCCAAAATCCAGGAAAAGAAGACTGGCACCATCATCGGAGGACATTTGCAGCTTCTCGAAGGGCTGCCGGAGCAGCACAGCTCGGGCCGCACCCGGCTCTGCTGCCCACAGTGTAAAGCCCTTGTCAATGTGCACAGAGAAGCTGCAGGGGCGGCCATTCCACGTGCAGGCTGTAGGGAGGCAGGTGGGCACAGGCACAGCTGGCACATCAACCCCGCTGACAGCTCCACAAAGTGGGGCTTGACTACCCTCAGGGATGGGAGGCTCACTTCTGTCCTGACACCAGCATACCCTCCTGCAGTCTCCCCCACCCTACGGTACAGAACAATGGACCCTCAGAGAACCTACTCTTGCTTTTAGTCCCACTTTTAGCATCACCATAAGTAGAGGGGGAGCTTAGGCTGGGGATGTAGCTCAGTGGTAGAGTGCCTGCCTAGCATGCTCAAGGTACAATCTCCAGCACCACAAAAAAGGAGGGTACTTAAAATCTACCATGGACAGGAGGCTTACCCCCACAAAGGCATAGCATTGCCTAGTAAGTTTGAATTTCATATCAACAGTGGGTAATTTAGACATATAAAAAGGGTTTATTGTTTACCTGAAATTTAAATCATACTGGGTGTCTTGTATTTTATCTAGAGCCCTACCCCAAGGCTCACCTCTCCCATCCTCACCAGCAGTATCACAAGGACCCCAAGGAGAAGTCCTACTAGCTACTAGGCCCCTCCATGTCATAACAGAGGCCCCTCAGAGAGTCCAAGTCTTGCTTTCTACCCCTTCCTGAAGCACCCTAAGGAAGGAAGCTTGAATGCCTGTAAGGGACATGAGGCTCATCCCAGGTCCACCCAGCGCACCTGTAGACACCTCCTGCACACCCTCAGCAGCCCGATGACAGCCATCCACCAGCTGTCGGGTCCAGGCAGCCAGGTCCTGTGACGACTCCACACTGAACAGGTGAGTGTCCACACCATGGCGCGTGCCAGTGCGCAGGGCAAAAGACAGCTCAGCATCGTAGGGCACTGAGCCCTTGGAGGGGCCTGAGTGCACTAGCCTGGGGGAGGAGGGTAGAGGGCTGAACATGAGGCCTTGGTCTGGGAGAAGTACTGCCAGGCAAAGGGGGCAGGGATCTGTGACTCCTTTGCCACCTAAGAAGGGACAGGACTTGTAGGTGGGCACTGACCAACTCAGTAGGAGGCAACTCCCACTGCTCTCCCCCTAGCTCTTCAGCTCCTGCTGCAGTGGCGTCCTTACCCACGCCAAGTACACCCCTGCCTGGGTAACTCCACAACATACTCTTCCCTTTGCCTTGACTATCTGTCAGACTTGCCCCTCACTTCCTGGAGGTCTTCACTTAAATGATCTCTCTGTCTAAAATGGCGCCCCTGTCACTCTCCAGCCTGGCATCTGAAATTTCACTTTTGATTTACTTTTTTTCAGTTGACTTTTGGCTGTCTTCTTTAGTAGAATGCCCTGTAGGGGAGAAATTTTTGCCTATTTTGTTCACCACTGTGTTCTCAATCACTCAAACCATGTCTGAGACTTGAGCCACACCTCCAGCCCTCAATAAACCTTTGTTGCCTTAACTAATGAGTCACTTGATTAGGCTGGCAATCCACAACCTACTTATCTGCACTAGCCAGCAGGCTCCTGACCCAAGGGCCAGAGCCCACAGCAGGCAGAAGAGCCCTGGAGGACAAAGGACCCAGACCCTGCAGTTTGACTCACTTGCTGTGTGGAGTTGGCCAGCAGACCTTCAAGTTCTAAGCCCCAGCCCTCGCTCTTCCTCATTCCACCCACTTGTTCAGTTCCCTTTCAGAGCTGCTTTCGACTTCCAGTCTCCCAGTTGTCAGCCCACACACACTTTGGATTGACTCAGCATCTCACGGAGCCTCCTCCCTTCATACGTTCACCCCCATCCCAATGCCCTTTCCTCCCACCCCCAGACACAAGCTCAAACCCTCTCATTCATCCAGGACACTTCCTGTGCCCTCCCCATCTGGCAAGCACAAAGCTCGTGAGGTTTCCCACCCTGTATTTTCCACTCCAAATGCTGCCTTTCTTCTCCATCTGCTGCCTCAACCCACCTTGCCAACCCCAGCCACACCATCTCTTCTGCATGGCTGCAGTGGCCTCCCAGCTTCTGTCCTGCCCTCTCTAGCACAAGGTCCATGTGGCAGCCACAGGGCTTCTAAAACACAACCCCAGTCACTGGGTCCTCCTGGCTTAACCCCTCCAACACTGCCACAAGTCTTAAAAGAAAGCCAGCATTGCTTCTCCAGACAGCAGAGAAGCTGCAGGACCTGCCATCTCCTGGTCTCACTTCTCCCCTTGTCCTACCTGGGTTCCTCATCTGATTATACCACATTCATAGCTCCATGAACATGCTACAGCCCTCCAAACTCTGTATCTCTGACAGAAAATGCTCTGCTCTTCCACTCTTTTCTAAACAGCCAACTTCCACTCATCCATCAAAGCCCCATGTGAATGTTACATCCTCCTTGAATCCCTCCCCGACCTAGCTGGGAAGATTTAAGTAGCTCTTATAACCCTGCATGATAATAGTTGTTCCTAGGTCTGTGTTCCCCACCACTATGTTATCTCTGAGGGCAGTGACTGTTGGGGTCAGCTCTGTGTCCCCTGAACCATTCAGTACAAGGTGTAGGTGTCAACAGATAGTGACTGGTGGGAACATCACATCCTTCTATTCCAAGCTCCCATTTTACAGATGAGGAAACTGAGACCTAGAGAGGGCAGAGACTTGCTTTAGGTCACCTGGAGGATAACTGAGGACAGAACAGGGAAGGAGTTCTGAGACCCATCTAGAGCATCTCCCTCCAAGCTCTGGGTTCGGCACCCAGCCCCTGCCCTTGGGTACCTGGTGGTGATGAGTGGGGCAGTGCGGGTGGGCCGGCTCAGAGCCTCACGGGTCTGGGGGAGACAACTGTAGAGAAGCAGTTCCTTTTCAGTCAGCAGGGCCAGGGTAGGGGCTGTGCCCCCACTGGGCAGCTGCAGGGGGCAAAGTAGCAGTGAGGAGGGGAGAGGAGAGAGTCAGAGGGCAAGGGGGAGCAGGGTGATGAGGGGCACTGAAAACAGATCAGTTCCAAGGGAGGAAAGAACAGGAGGGGTAGGCCCAGGCCCAGCAGGCACCTGCTCAGTCAACCAGCCCATCTGCTTGATGTCCTGGCTCCCAGCTGTGCCTGTGGCTGCCAGCAGTGCCTGTAGCTCATCCTTGACCCAGGGCATCAGAGCACTGATCTGAGCTTGGATGGCACCTGCCCACGACCTTGCACTAGCCTCATCTTTAGCCCTCAAGAAGAGGGCGTCTTGGCCATCTGCTGCACAGATCTCCAGGTACCTGCAGACACAATGGGACAGAAAAGAGGGCAGTCAGTTGGCTGGAGTTGTCCAACCAGGAAATCTGGCCAAAGAAACCCCAACCACCGCCCAAACCAGAATGAACCACAGGGGTTGTCCATGGCAAGAATCAGGAGCAACTTTCTGTGGGTCACAGTTGTTGGGGCTTCACATGGTCTAGGAACAAAAGACACACACACACACACACACACACACACATACATGTGCCTATAAACACAAATACGCACACTCTCAAGTGTGTGCAGGAGCCAAAATTATTACAGTGTGAGGATTTATAATGAGTGGTCTAAGCAAGATTCTTTTTTTTTTTTTTTGGTGATATTGGGGTTTGAACTCAGGGCCTAACCTTAAGCCACTCCACCAGCCATTTTTTTGTGAAGGATGTTTTTGAGATAGGGTCTCAGGAACTATTTGCCCGGATTGGCTTCAAACTGCGATCCCCTGATCTCTGCCTCCTGAGTAGACAGGATTACAGGCATGAGCCACCAGTGCCTGGCTAGGAAGATTCTCTTGCTGGGCCAGCTCCCAGATTCTCTTTGTTGCACAGAACCAAAGTAATTCTTCTATTAATAGGGGAAAAACACTAAGGAGGCATGAGAAACCAACTGGATTTATGTAATAAAGTTGGGCCCAGGCAAGGTGGTACACGTCTATAATCCCAGCACTTGAGAGGCTGAGACAGGAGGATCTTGAGTTTGAGACCAGCATGGGCTATATAGCAAGGGAAATGGAGTACAGAGAAAGGAAGAGACAAAAGACAACCGGCCATTATGCAGGCAGGAAATATGGAGGAAGTCAGGACGCTGGTGGTTCATGTAACAATCCTAGCTACTCAGGAGGCAGAGATCAGGAGGATCACGGTTTGAAGCCAGCCTGGGCAAATAGTTCAAGAGACCCAGTCTCAAAAAAATACAAAAAAAGGGCTGGTGGAGTGGCTCAAGGTATAATTCCTGAGTTCAAGCCCCAGGCCCTGAGTTCAAGCCCCTGTATCACAAAAAAAAAAAAAAAAAAAACTTGAATTCCCCCCCTTCCTTTGCAGCTATGGACAGACACATGACCCAGTTATGACAAATGGATAGAAGTCTCTACGTAGGATGACCCTTCCAGAATCAAAGGCAATCTTTCCTAGATATGGTAATTAGTCCCCAAAGATGGGTTCCACCAAATCCATCCTTCCCTGTACACATAGTCCATTTCTCCTCTCCTTGACCTTATGATTTGGTTCCAAAAAAATGTGGCAAAGCCAGGCATGGTGGCACACAACTATAATCTCAAGATACTTGGGAGGTGAAGGCAAGGGGATCCCAAGTTTTAGGCCAGCCTAGGCAAAATTATTGAGATGACTCTGTCTCAAAAAGCAAACAAAAAGGGCTGGGTGCATGACTCAAGTGGTAGAGTACCTGCTAGCAAATGCAAGGCCCTGAGTTCAATCCTCAGTATCACAAAATTGGCAGAATGATATTCTGGCCATTTTCAAGCTGCTACATGAGAAGTCCAGCTACCCTAAAACCAGCATACTACAAGGAAACACAACGTAGCTGTGTGGATAGTCATATGGAAAGACTGCAGCTCAACCAGCCTCTGGCTGTTCAAATGCTCCAGCTGATGAACCAGACAGGTAGAAAATGCAGCCATCTTGGACTTCTAGACTGAACCAGCCTTCATTACCAAATAATAAGAAATAATAAACCGTCATTTTATAAGGCACTAAACTTTAGGATGGCTTCTGGGGCAGCAATAGAAAGCCAAAATACCAGGAGAAAACTCTTTGCCTTTGTCTTCTTCCTGTTAGGTGGTGGGACCAAAAGAAAGATACTTCTGTGTTGTTTAAGTGACAAGCATAATGCAGCACCTAGTAGGTGCTTAAGAAAGAGGCTGAGCTGGGCACCGGTTGCTCACGCCTGTAATCCTAGCAACTAAGAGATCAGAAGGATTGAGATTCGAAGCCAGCCTAGGCAAATAGTTCACAAGACCCTATCTCAAAAATACCCATCATAAAAAATGGGCTGCTGGAGTATCTCAAGGTGTAGGCCCTGAGTTCAAGCCCCAGTACTTGAAAGAGAAGAAGGGAAGGAGGGAGGTTTTGAGGGAGGGAGGGAGGAAGGAAGGAAGGAAGGAAGGAAGGGGTTGAATGGATGCATGAGTTAAGTTACTCTCACTTCTTCCTCTGGGCATTCACATCTGATGGAGAACTTGGTCTAGGGAGTAGCCCTGGATTCCAGTCCTGGTTCTCCTTGAACTACTTCCTGTTCCTGACCTTTAGACTCTACATTGTTAAATAAGGTTATTAGACTCCACAAGTCTGCTAACATTTGTATCAGGACCACAGAAGGTTACCATCCTTCACACCCGAGCAGATGTAATACAATCAGTATCAGCTAACAAGTGCTAAGTGCTTACTGTCTATCCAGTACCATGTCAAGTGCTTCCCAGCACAATTTCTTTTTTTTTTTTTTTTTTTCATTTTTCTTTTATTATTCATATGTGCATACAAGGCTTGGTTCATTTCTCCCCCCTGCCCCCACCCCCTCCCTTACCACCCACTCCACCCCCTCCCGCTCCCCCCCTCAATACCCAGCAGAAACTATTTTGCCCTTATCTCTAATTTTGTTGTAGAGAGAGTATAAGCAATAATAGGAAGGAACAAGGGGTTTTGCTGGTTGAGATAAGGATAGCTATACAGGGCATTGACTCACATTGATTTCCTGTGTGTGGGTGTTACCTTCTAGGTTAATTCTTTTTGATCTAACCTTTTCTCTAGTTCCTGGTCCCCTTTTCCTATTGGCCTCAGTTGCTTTAAGGTATCTGCTTTAGTTTCTCTGCGTTAAGGGCAACAAATGCTAGCTAGTTTTTTAGGTGTCTTACCTATCCTCACCCCTCCCTTGTGTGCTCTCGCTTTTATCATGTGCTCATAGTCCAATCCCCTTGTTGTGTTTGCCCTTGATCTAATGTCCACATATGAGGGAGAACATACGATTTTTGGTCTTTTGAGCCAGGCTAACCTCACTCAGAATGATGTTCTCCAATTCCATCCATTTACCAGCGAATGATAACATTTCGTTCTTCTTCATGGCTGCATAGAATTCCATTGTGTATAGATACCACATTTTCTTAATCCATTCGTCAGTGTTCCCAGCACAATTTCATTGAACTCTTACAGTGGCCCTATGAGCAAAGTCCTATTTTTTACCCTTATTTTATGGATGAAGTCAGAGAAAGGAATCTATACCTCCAGGAAAGGTGGCACTCACCTCACTCTAGATGGCCCTTTCTGCTTTAGAAGCTGCAGCATGGCTGAGTAATGGTGGGGCTGAATGGAGTCTATGTTGGTCAAGTGCAGTATGCAGTGTTTGGGTGGTGTGTGTGTGGCATATGTATAAGAAGCTAATTACAGCCTAGGCTCAATGCCACCCTAATGCTCCACACTGGCTGGGAGGGCTGGCTAATGTCCATCATCCAAACTTGTACCACTTGATACCACATCCTCTGCCTACCTGTGAGGTAAGAACAGGCGATGCCAGGTCGCGTACACGTGCTCCACTGAAGGGGTCGTTTGTGTTGAGCAAAGATGAGGTAATACTCCTTCCTGAGACTCATAGGACCTCAAGGTTCCCAGCCTGATCCCAGACATCACCCAAAGAATGTGCGTATGTTTCTCTGTGTGTGCACATGTGGATGACATTTAAACACAAGTGCTTGTGTAAGCATTTGCATGTGAATGGGGTGGATTTGAACATCTGTGTCTCTCTGTGCTGATGTCAACATTTGTACATACACATGTATGTACACACATGTAATTATTTATGAAACCTGAATATTACTGGGGTTCCAAATGGTCTACCATCAGGACCTCAACCCAAAGGAAAATAGTCTAGCAGACAAAATATAATGGAAGCTATTTCACAACTTATTCAATATTAGGATAGCACGTCATCTGGTTGTCTGATGGGGAGGCCTCCCACACCAGCCTCACCTGGGTTCCGGATCAGTGGGAGCGCACCTCCTTGAAACATATGCCATCTTCAAGGCCACATGTTTGGCCTCGCTCAGGTTCCGGGCTTGGGGACCAGGGGAGGAAGGCTGCCGCTGGAGGGGTGAAGCAGGGGGTGAGTCCCAGCTGACTGAGGTTCCACCAGCAGAGTTCTTGAAATACGGTGAGACTTCCTTCATGTACTTGACTGGTCAGGAGAGAGGTCAGCAGTTACTACTGTGACATAGGCTTCCATACAGTACACATCACAATTGTGATTCAATTAAGATTTTAACTTATGTCTGATATCACTATCTTATTCTAAGCTAAACTTACTGGCAGGACAATGGGTAGAAAATACTGGATATCTGCCAATATCCATTTGCTCACCTTCCCCCTGGTTTATGGACACAGAGCCACCTGAAAAAAGACTACATTTCCCAGGTTCCTGTGCAGCAAGGTGTGGCCAAATGCTAAGTTCTATCAAAGTAACTGGAAGGATCTGGACCTTTAGGATGACTATTTAAAGAAAACAGACAACAGCTGAGGGAAAGAGCACCAACACAGAAATCAGGATGTGGGACTACTCTGCCACTGTCCTACTGCTTGTCGCTATGTCTTCATTCTTCTCATCTGCAAAAAGGAGGAGGTGAATGAGACAGTCCTATGGTAGAAGCAGCTCACTGTCTAACATAGTGATAGTCTCTCATGTAGACTTCATTTTCCAGGTTCTCCTGCAGCTACCAGTGCCCACGTGACCAAGTCTGGCCAACAGAAAAATAGAGAGTATGTGTTACCTAAGAAAGCAAAAAACTACCTGGATGTGATGGTGCACACCTGTAATCCCAGATACTCAGAAGTCTAAAGCAGGAGGATTACAAATTCAAGGCCAGCTGGGCAACTTAGCAAGACCCTAACTCAAAAAAAATTAAAATGGTGCAGGGGAGTAGCTCAGTGGCAGAACACTTGCCTAGCATTGTGAGGCCCTGAATTCAATCCTCAGTGCCACAAAAGAAAAAAGAGAGAAAAAAAAGCCTGACATGGTGGCACATGTCTGTAATCCCAGCATTCAGGAGGTAGAGGCAGGAAGATGGTGAATTAGAGGCTATCCTGGGCTACATAGCAAGACCCTGCCTCAAACAGCTAAAAAAAAAAAAAAGAAGGAAAAAAAACTTGTTATATTAAAGCCACAGTAGTTTATGTGTCTCTTTGCCGCAGCTGTATAGTTTGTACCCTAACCATCAATTACCACTGAATATAGCAGACGCCTTCTAGAATAGTATTGTCCAGCAGAAGCCTCTATGAGGACAGAAATGTGCCACACACATACTGTTCAGTACAACAGCCACTAGCCACCTGTGACAAATAAGCACTTTATTTTGTTGTTGTTGTTACAGTACTAGGGTTTTGAACTCAGGGCCTCATGCTTGCTAGGCAGGCACTTTACCACTTGAGACACTCTATCAATCTTTTTTTTTTTTAATAAGCTTTTTAACAATCTATTTGAACTCAACAAGTGGGGAAAAACTGAAACATTTTTTCCCCTTACATCAATCTTTTTTTTGTGTCAGGTATTTTCAAGATAGGGTTTCAAGAACTATTTACCAGGGCTGGCTTCAAACCACAATCCTCCTGACCACTGCTTCCCAAGTAATCAGCATCCAGCACCAATGAGCACTTTAAATGGGGTTAGCACAGGCTGGGCATTTCTATAATCCCAGCATTCTAGAGACTGAAGCACAAGGATCACAAGTTAAGGAGTGGCCTGAGGTACAGAGGGACATCCTGCCTCAATTAATTAATTAAGATAAAATAAATGGGGCCAGTAATGAATGACCTGAATTTTTAATTTTTATTTACTTTCAATTAACTGAAAATTCATTCAAATAGTCACATAAAGCTAACAGCAACCACATTGGACAGGACAGTTCTACGATATCAAGCCAAACTGCTTCTTTGTCTGACTGACATGTGATCTTGTCCTTCTGGCCATGCTAGCCAGACCAGGGTGAACACCTGAGCCACAGGCTACTCAGACTAAAACAGGAAGAGATTCAACCCTGGTAGCCTGAATGCTATAAAGCAACCACCTTCTGCCATGGGGTCAGAGAAAGGAGAAATAGGTTAGTGGGGTGGGGCATCGCTCCAGTAGTAGAGCATTTGCCTAACGACAGGCAAGGTCCTAGGTTCAATCCCCAGCCCCACAAGAGAAAGAGAGAAAGAGGAAGAGAGAGAGAGAGATCAGCAGAAGCCTGGTGTAGTGTGGCACATCTGTAATCCCAGCATTTAAGGAGGGTGAGGCACAAAGCCAGTCTGAGCTACGTAGTGAGACTCTGTCTTGAAACAAAAACCAAAAAGAGAGACAGACAGAGAGAAAGGGAGAAAGGAAGAAAAGAGAGAAGAAAAGAGAGAAGTGAGGAAGAAAAAGAAAGAGAGAGAAAGAAAAAAAGAAGCAAGTTCATGGAGATGTGTCAAGAGACAGAGGGAAAGTCTGCCAGGCACCTGCTAACGTTCCAGTTTCTGATACTCATCCCAAACAAAGTCAGGCTAAAAACTCAACTGAGGTTCCAATAGTTGCAACCAAGAGCCTTGACTGGGAACCCAATGACAAGGGCCAGGACCCCATGCCTTTCTAGAAAAGGAGATCTCACTAGCCATGGCAGCTAGAAGCAAAAGACTACCAATGACAGGGGTGACCTGGGAACAGCTTGGTGAGAGTGGAGAGATTTGGGGATAAGTCTCTTCCTTAAGCACCTACTATGCACAGGTACTAGGATGGTAAGCATGTGACACTTGTGCCACCACTTCTAAGCCTTGCTCATGGAAGACATCACTGATCAATCATAATGTTCTCTGCAGCCAATACAAATCAATTAGGGCTGACTGGTAATAAAACATTTTGGTCACTCTTGCTAAGTCAGTTAGACGGGTTTAACAGGGTCTTAAATAAAAATGTATTTATAATTTCACTTAAGAAATCTTAAGGAAGGCAGTTCAGGATTGGTTCAGGGGCTAAACGATACTGGATTCTGGGCCTTTCTCTTGGCCTTACCCTCATGACCATAGGATGCTGCCATAGCTCAAGCCAGTTATTCCTTATGTGACAAAAACAGAAGCAGGAAGAGAGGATCCAGGCAGAAAAAAGGCTGTCTCTTCACACTTCTGTTTTATCAGAGGTAAATATTTCCAGTAGATGTTTCCCTGCATCTCATTGGCCAGTACTAGACTGTGTATTCTGCAAGCCCAATCATCAAAGACAGAATAGTCATGATTTAGACCAATCACACCTCAGCCTCTGGGCCTATGCCTATTTCCACCCAATAAAATTAGACTTCTACTAGCAAGGAAGGAGAACTGGTTCCAACAGGGTCTGCCGCACTTGCCCTGGCATCTGGGCAGCTCCTGATTCTAACGGGCAGCAGCATTCCCTCTTCTCTAAACTGAGCTGCTGGGAAGATAGTGTGTAGATCAAGATGGTTAAAAGACTTGTCCAAGCACTGGTCTCTCTTCCCCCAGCTACACTATACCTTTTGTTGCTCTCCAGGGGGTGCCTGATACCTGCCGACCTTGGACAGCCTCCTACCTCTGCTTTCAACCACATCTGCTCCCAGGGACAAGCTGGCTTGCTTGCTATCTGACATTTACAATCAAGGCCCAGGCAACATGCCCCCAGGAAGCAGTTCTTGGCTCAGTTCTGTGGAAAAAGCAGGTAAGAAGTTATTTCTGTCGCAGGAGACATCCCTGTGGCTGAGACAAGATGCAAGGCAATCAGGGTGAATGAGAGAGGCAGCTGCAAATCCTACTGGGGTTGGAAAAGAAGTCATATTGAAAGCAAAGGCACTTTTTTTTTTTTTAAAGAGAACAAAGCCTAAATCTGAGGTTTGGATACAAGGACTAAAAATGACTCACCACTATTTAGCAATGACTTACCCCAGGACTATTGGATTCTATTTCAAAGGGCATGGAGGAGAGGTATATCACAGCCTGAGAGCCAAAAACTTTCTCCACCCATTTTTCTTGCTAATAGAACCCTGAGCCCTAAAAGGTCAGCTTCTCCCCAACCTAAGGGGAGAATTTGATTGTCAGAGCTACTTACAATCATTCCATTTCTCTTGCTTGTGAATGGTGAGAATGGGCAGATAAGACAATTCTTGCCTGCCAGGCACCAGTGGCTCACGCCTGTAATCCTAGCTACTCAGAAGGCAGAGATCAGAAGGATCGTGGTTCAAACCCAGCTTGGGCAAACAGTTCGTGAGACCCTATCTCGAAAAACCCTTCACAAAAATAGGGCTGGTAGAGTGGCTCAAGGTGAAGGCCCTGAGTTCAAGGCCCAGTACCACACACAAAAAAAGGTAATTCTTGCCCATGAGATGTGAGGAAAAGCATACTGCCTATCTCTTCTCTCCTCTGGCCTCTCCAAGTGCTGCAAGGAACTTGGTTCTACAGCAATGGCAGCCATGTTTTCACCCAAGGGTTGGGATCCACAGAATGAGGATGGTAGAGCAGACAGATGGACAGACTCGCTTGGTCTTCAATGATATCATGAGCCCCTAAGCTAACGAACCCTGAAGCCATGCTGCCTCAAGATGTTCTAGATAATAACATACTTTGTTCAATGTTTAAACTTCTCTGAGGGGATAGAGAAGGCTGGTTAACAGGTACTCAATTACAGATGGGAATAAGTTCAAGTGTTCTATAGCATAAGAAGGTGTTAAAAACAATCATTTATAGTATATTTCAAAACAGCTAGAAAAGAGGATTTTGAATGCTCCCAACAAAAGAAATGATAAATGTTTGAGGTGATGAATATGCCAATTACCTTGACTTAATCATTACACACTGTATTGAACTATCACAGTGTATCCCATAAATATGCATCATTATCATGTATCAATTAAAAATTTAAAAAGAGGAAAAAACCTCTGAATTGGGTTTCTGTTATTTGCATTTGTGGTGCGTGCCTACCACACAGGAGGATCTTGAGTTCCAGGCCAGCCTGAGTTACACAGACTTTGTCTCAAAAAAAAAGCTGGGTGGGGAATAACAATGTCTACCCCCAAGAGATGCCAGAACTAAATGAAATAATGTGAAAACATGTAGCACACATTAGGGACTCAAAACCAAATGTTTCTTATCTATCAGCCTCACTTGCCCACACTTCCTAGGACTGTGCTGTGATTCTATGTGTTGGGGCTGTCTTCCCCACCA